GTAGTTTCGCAAGGCAAAGTATTAATCAAATGCCATACGGAAAGTCCGCTGAAGTACTTTGTTTTTTATGCATGAATGTATATTATACAAAGCATTCGCCCTATGCGAGTTTAACTACTGCAGCACTTAGTATATAGCTGAATATTGACTAAATGAATTCAACTTAGAAGGTTGTTTTTTGTACAACTCAAGTACGCACTAGACACCTTGAGTTTCATAATAATGAAACCAATGCTACTGAAGTACTAGTTAAAGACTACTGATGCGCGATGCCTGAAATGAGACAGGCTTTAAAATACACAATTCTCATAGAAAAGTAGTTGTTGCCTCACAAAGGTCATAGCACAAGTAAATTCACAAACGCAAAAAACATCCCGAAATGCAAGCTTTTCAGGAGAACCTCTGGTGAAGTTTGGATTTGAGGGTTTTACCGTCTCTCTAAAAAAGTAAAGCAACTGTTTAAGCAAATAACTCTAGGCAACAAACCTGTTTCCAGACAAATATTGCTTCTACTAGGCAAAATATTGCTCAACCATGCAGTACTCGTTACATGTTGATTCGACCAATCTAGCAGTCAGTGAATATTCAATTATTGGGTGAGTACAAGATTTACTAAATATACACAGAATATGACATAATGCTCAGTAAATGATACTTGACTACAGAAAACTAATTCAATTACGTACTAATGAAATACCATTTATATACTATTCGCTTTGACAAGTACAATTTACATAGAAAAGCCTTGAAAAGCACAAATTCCTAAGAACCATACCATCCACCCAGTAAAGGCTATGGTACTGAGCATGGGAATGCTGTGTTTGGGGGCAGAATGCTCAAACGCTCTTTACATGCTACTTGAATATGAAACTAAATTATTCATGTACCCATTAAATACAGTACTCTTTAAGTGTACGATGCACAGAAAAGTACAATTTGCAAAGAGAAGCGTAGAAAAGCACAATTTTCTTAGAGAGAAGGGGGGCTCAGGCAGTACGGAAAAGCACAAAAAAGCCACAAACGCACAAAAACACACAAAAAGCTAAAATTAGCAAAAAGAACATGAAAGCCAAACAAATATATTGCAGGATTCTCCACAATATTCTCACGGAAAACCAAGAAACGACAATATTTCAGGACTTTCCACCAAATCTGTACGGAAAACCAAAAAAACCAAAAAAACCAAAAAAACCAAAAAAACCAAAAAAAACAATTTTCAGGGACTCTTTGAAATTAGGCCATCTGCTGGAAGAGTCCTGAAATATTGGTTTTTTTGGTTTTTTTGGTTTTTTGGGTTTTTTTGATTTTCCGTATGGATTTTTCGTACGGTTTTGGTGGAGAGTCATGAAATATTGTTCTTCTTTAGTTTTTTTGTTATCCGTGGGACTGGAGAGTCTAGAAATATTGTTGTTACTTGGGTTTTTTTGGTTCTTCAACAGCGACAAAAGGCCGAGAAAGTGCACGCCCACAGTCCCGCGTTTTGCCAAAAAACACCACAAAAACACAACCCTAAGGGTCCATGTACCGTTTTATAAGAAACATTCCCCCAGAGTGCCTAAATAGGAAGTACTTTAAGGCCCAAGTATTCCCTATCTAGGTACATGGACCCTCACAGTAAAGATCCTCACACAAGCCATGCTTTTCCAGAATCCTCCTTAATAGGGGCCCTTATACCCCAATATAGTAGGATCCTTATGCTTATGTGGCTTTTGGGGGGCCCTAATTGGGTTTAGGGCGTGGGGGTTAGGAGTTTCGATGGTCTCGAAAGCCAGCGCCAGAGCGGGAGACGCGCGGAGGCGTCTCAACGCACTTGGAGAAATTAAAGCTGAGGCGCTGTCGACAGATCTACAGCCCTAAACCCTAAACCCTAAACTCTAAACCCTAAACCCCAAACCCTAAATCCTAACACCGCGTGAGGGGCCCTTTACCGACGCGGAGATGTGCCCTGAACCTTAAACCTGCATTGTAACTAAGCTCTACCTAGAGAGTATCCTGGATATCCTTTCCCTAAGGGTCCATGTACCTTATTATTATATACTTGGGCCCCAAAGTCCCTAAATAGGAAGTACTTTAAGGCCCAAGTATTCCCTAATTTGGTACATGGACCCTTAGGGTTTCAAACAGGGAAACGCGCCACCAAATTTTGTAGAGGCCAGCTTTCGTTAATTGGGATAGGCGCAGTGGAGCTAGACGCCTTCTGACAGAATGCGGTCGACAACCCCGACAGTTATAAAAAGCGGAGAGGGGAGTCCTACGTCTTAGGACTCAGGTATCCTCCCGACTCCAAGGGTCGTTCCATGGGCCAGAACCTCGAAGTACTATTCAGGCCCGCTTCGTCACTTGGACATCATTCGGACGCCCATTGACATTTCCAACATCTCCATCGAAGCATCAGTTCCTGGTTTAGGGTTTAGGGTGTAGGATTTAGGGTTTAGGGTTTCGGGTTTGGGGCTTTGGGGATAGGGATTGGGGTTTAGGGTTTAGTTTTCTGTACGTGTAACGACGGGTGCGTGTGTGTGTGTGTGTGTGTGTGTGTGTGTGTGTGTGTGTGTGGGGGTGTGGAACAACAAACGGACACTCGATCCAAGCAGGGTTTGGGGACAACTCCGCAGGGCTTCCTTGAAGCTCGCAAGCCAAACCCCAAACCCCTAAACCCGATGAACCCTAAACCCACCGCCCAAACACCATTCAATGGACTAACTTACTTGCTGAGTTCATCAGCCCCAAACAAATGTACGGTTTCAGTTTTTTTGGGGATGATGCCCTAAACCCTAAACCCTAAACCCTAAACCCTAAACCCTAAACCCTAAACCCTAAACCCTAAACCCTAAACCCTAAACCCTAAACCCTGGCCCAAAATGTGTATAGCGTACTGATTCAGCTACCGAGCTGACCGAGGTGCCGTGGCATGCTTGATCAGGGTTGATTTCCGTAGTCCTACTCAGGGGGTTCGAAGTCTAAATTTTAACCCCAAACCCTAAACCCTGAACCCTAAGCCCTAAGCCCGAAACCCTAAAACCTAAACCCTCTTAAAACCCTACCTCTGAAAAGCCATGAACCGCCAAGTGGGCGACCACGCATCACTCGCGGGTCTCCTCGAAGGTCCTCCATTCTACGTACGAGATTTTGGATACCTTGTCATCGTAAATCCTTTGCCCTAAACCCTAAACCCTAAACCCTAGACCCTAAACCCTAGACCCTAAACCCTAAACCCTACCCTCCAAACTAAACATCCAGCAGAGAGTCGTAAGATTCGAAGTTGACCGGCTTTCGTCTTTGACCTCGCATTCCTCGTGGGCGTAGCTAGGGTGTGGGGTTTAGGGCTTAGGGCTTAGGGTTTAGGGTTTCGAGCTTGAGGGGGTTTCGAGCTTCAGGGGGTTTCAGCTTTGGAGTTGGCTTAGGATTTAGGGTTCAGGGTTCAGGGTCCAGAGGGTGGAAGGCACAGCTGGGTCCAGGGAAACCTCGGGTGGCTTAGGGTGGAGGGTTTAGGGTGTGGGGTGTGGGGCTCATACACATGCAAGACCCAAAAGTGCCTGAAGCCTGAAGCACTTTGCCAGGTCACCCAAAACTCTAGCTAAACCTTTCCTGCGGGTATGTGGGTGAGGGACTGTGTGAGGTGGCCAGTGATCACAAAAAGTGTGGCAGGGTTTCGGGTTTAGGGTTTCTAGGGTTTAGGGTTTAGAGTTTGCGGTTGCAAGATCTCCTGTGGGCGAAGAGCAAAGTCCAAAATTCACGCAAGCAACTAACCCCAAGAGCGGCCCTCACTTACCCCCTACTCCCCACAAAACCAAAAATCAATAAATGAGCCCACCTAAACCGTAAACCCTAAACCCTAAACCCTAAACCCTAAACCCTAAACCCTAAACCCTAAACCCTAAACCCTAAACCCTAAACCCAAGAGAGCCTTCGCCGGCTTGGAGTCGATGAGACTACCTCGCGGATGGGACTGTGGAGGCACGGTCGTAGGGATGGGCGGAGGTTGTGCTTCTTTTGTGAACCGCTTTTTTCCCTACTCTGGAGCAGAACCGAACAAAAAAAGGAGATACTTTTTAGGTAGAAGTAGCTAGAATAGGAACCCAGAACTATAAAAAAGTGTTAAAGTACAGTACTCCAACACCTTGTATAACTTGGATACTTTACATGGGGACATGGGGCCCTACTTGGGTGGCTGTACCTAGAGAAACTTATGTACCTTGCAGACAAAGGGAATTGGACCTTAATAGTTGGTGTCGTTGAGTTTTTGGCAGAGTAAATATTGCTGTTATTGCTGGGTGTGCTTTTGATTCCTCAGAAATATTGGTCAGTGTATAGTCGGGTGGGGTACTAGTGATAACAAGCCTTTGCACCTCACATATCGGCTAGTGTATGTTATAGGTTGGGAGCAGAGAGAAACAAGTCGAGGAGGCGTCACGGTGTGCGCGGGCGCAGCCGGTACCCTAAACCCTAAACCCTAAACCCTAAACCCTAAACCCTAGACCCTAGACCCTAAACCCTAACCCTAAATCCGAAACCCTAAACCCTAAACCCTAGGATCACGGAGTGCTCCTGGTGCTGTCTTGACGTGCTTTCGGGGTGATGGTCTTGGGTGCTCCTTGAAGTCGTACATTGTTTGGGGATCTACGCTGGCACAATTACAGGCAAATGTCTGCTTCCTTTATTTCGGGAAGCCTGCATTGCCTCAGAAGTGCATCCGGAACACTTCTACATGGCCTCTGTCAGTGAAAAGAAACACTATTTCCACGAAGTTCTAACTGGAAACCCCTGTGGTATCTACATATTGACAGGTCAGGTTCATCTACATGTTCATTGAAAACATGCATTTCCCAAATGGACCCTCTGTGTAACTTCCCAGAACTTTCAAGTATGACCGACGGATGTTGACAGCGTTTTGGGTATTAGGGTCTAGGGTTGAGGGTTTAGGGTTTAGTGTTTAGGGTGCACGGTTTGTTTTTTTTAGGGTTTAGGGCTTAAGGTGAAGATCCAACGCTGTGGGGTCGCTGTTAAATTGAGGGTTCAACGATAGATTGAATCCAAGCCAAGACAAACATACGTGCACACACTGCCCCAAAGCCCCAAACACCCCAAACCCTAAACCCTAAACCCCTAAACCCCCAAAACCCCCTAAACCCTAAACAATCGCGGGAAGTAGCCCTGGAGTCCCTTGCAACTGCAGACGCGGGGGCCTCCTTGTCCCGGAGCTTGCGCGCCAACTTTGCAATCTTGTGGTCGAGAGCCCTGGGTTTGGGGTTAGGGGTTAGGGTTTAGTAGCCGACCGGCATTTCCCCCCAAAAGGGGGAAACTGTGCATTACGCATTGGTAGCTTTTTCTCTTTGGTTACTGGATACATAATTCCTCAAGGTCGCTTGATGTCCGCATGCATCGCCACCTGATCGATCGCCCTCGCGGGCCCTTTGCAACGCATGATGCCATCTATGAACTCGTCCAGAGTGACCTGAGGCAAGCAAGGAAGAAAGTCTCGACTCTTGCAGCACACCCCCCCAAACCCTGGACAGCAAACCTGAAGCATGAGGCTGAGTACGGCTCTTGTCAGACCATGAACAGGGCTAGGGCAGAAGGCAGGAGCAGCCGTGCGCCAAACACACGCACACACCTGTGCAGACACTCACACAGACCCAAAGACTCATGTGCTAGCTGTGCCTGGGTTTAGGGACTAGGGTTTGAAGTGTTTACGTGCATTTACGAACAGGCGAAAATACCTCAACCACCAGCCCATCTCCCATCATATGGGAGAAATGGGTTACTCCAGGTAGATCCTATGCTTAGAAGTCAAGCATGTCGGGACGGTACATGCGTGCCTCTCCATCTCCGTTGTCTAGGAGGTGGAACAATGCCACACCTTCCTCGGCACACTATGCAGGGTTCTTCTTTTTCTAGTCTACATGGTGTGCTGGAGCCTTAAACTCTCGACCCTAAGCCCTACACCCTCAACCCGAAAAAGTCTACACTGTAAGCCCCAGGGAAATCTTTGGCAGAAGGTGACCTCAGCTTCGAGTTTAGGGTGCTTAGGGGCCGACGGCGAACACAGGAGACTTGGCAACTACGAATATGACCCCTCCATTTAGGCTGACTGCCCTGAGACATTCCACAGTCCTACAACCTGAAAAAGGAAAATGCTCAGTATTGATGTGAATATGCTTTTGGTTGAGGGCTTCGGGCTTGGGTTTAGGGTTTAGGGTTAGGGTTTAGGGTTAAGGGTTAAGGGTTAAGGGTTAAGGGTTTAGGGTTTAGGGTTTAGGGTTAAGGGCAAAGGGTTTAGGGTTTAGGGTTTAGGGTTTAGGGTTTAGGATTTGGGGTTTGGGGTTTGGGGTTTAGGGTTTAGGGTTTAGGGTATCTGACCTTCCAGGCCCCTGTGGCTGTCGAGGGCTCTGCTGCTGGCCAATCATACGGGCTCATCTCGATGCACATGGACCAGTTCTCAACTATGGCCCCTTCTTTAGTACGCCCTAAACCCTAAACCCTAAACCCTAAACCCTAAACCCAAAACCCTAAACCCTAAACTCTAAACCCTAAACCCCAAACCCTAAACTCTAAACCCTCTAAACCCTAGCCTGGGTTGCGGATTCCACAATGAGCCTGAGGAACCATGAGCCCCTAAACCTTGAACACTAACTGGGAAAAGCCAGCTGGGTGGAGTTGGGGGACTGTGTGAATTCAAATGTCCTTGCTGCATATAGGGGTTTAGGGTTTAGGGTTTAGGGTTTACTTCCTGTGGTTTATGCGGGGACTAGGGCCGACAGAACTCCAAATGTTTAGCCTGAAATCAAGCTCCTCAACCCTAACCACCTGAAGAAACATCGCCCGGCTGCATGGAGGTCCAACTCAAGCGTCTCAAGGTACGCTGCGACCTCTTCAAAAAGTTATCTAAGATCCAGGGTCTGCCAGGTAAGTCTACACATCCCTATACCCTGAAGTCTGAAAGCTCCAGGTCTTAGCGTTCAACATCTACCGAAACCCTAAACCCTAAAACTCAAACCTTTAGCCAGATGAGATTTGAGGGAGCTCCAGATAGTCCTGTTTGGGACGATGCGAAGGGGCAGGGAGCAGGGGGCGACAAGTGAACCCTCTGAGTTTTAGGGCTTGGAAGTGTGCCCATTCACATCGTAGAACATCTGGGCTGTGTACGGGAGTAAACCCCAAAACCCGAGACCCGAAACCCGAAACCCTAAAAGCCTAAAACCATAAACCCTAAAACCAAAACCCTAAAACCTAAACCCTGAAGCCTGAAGCCTGAACCCTGAACCCTGATTTCTAAAACCTAAACCCTAAACCCGAAACCCCCCAAAGCTCAACCACTAAGTCTGCAGAGCTCAACCTCATGACTCATGACGTCGCCTTCGGATTCTGCAGGATATCATTCAGCCTCTCCTGGACATGAACCCATAGGGCTGATTCAGGGTTTAGGGTTTTAGGATGTTGGGTTTAGGATTTAGGGTTTAGGGTTTAGGGTTTAGGGTTTGGGGTTTAATTGGGGTTTAGGCTCTAGGGTTTAGACTTTAGGGTCTTAGGGCCAGAAGACATTAGTTCAACATAAGACCTGTATTTAAGATGCATACGTAGGTGCTCTTATCGGTTGTGTTGCTTTTTGCACTATCAGACCTGAGGGCCTCGGGACCTAAATCCCTAAACCCTGTTTCTTAGGGTTTAGGATTCAGTGCATAAGTAGGGTGTGGGGATTCGGGTTTAGGGCTTAGTGCTTAATTATGGTTCAACGGTTCTCAGAGAACAGAACAAAACTCCTGTCCTCCGAGATGATGCCATCGCCTGTGTCGTCGATCGCCAGGAATATGCTTTCCAGTTTGGCCACGTACTGTGCCTTCTTACCTGTCAACAAAGCGATTAGGGTTCAAAGCTTCGGGCAAACCCAAAACCCTATAAACCCTAAACCCCCAGGAAATCGCGAGGCTCCACTTCTTTATGCACTACGATTCAGGATTTTGGGGCTTCAAGGGCTTAGGTTCTACCAAGAGGCCCCATACACAAAAAAACTACGAAAGGCCGCTCAACTAAACCGCCGTGGGCCCGTTAGAAGCCCTGCAAAGCCCGCTTTTGCCGGTTTACGGTTTCGGCCTGTGGGTTTAGGGTTTAGACTCCGCCATACCAGTAGCTAGTAGTTTGAGTGTAAAACGGTGTATACAATACTCTGCCACACAGGCCATGTAAAATGCAGTCTGTGGCTTCTCCGCTACTCCCTGGTATGACTAGTATCCTTGGGTTCCGTCAGGTTAAGCAATACTCCCGAAACCCGAAACCCGAAACCCGAAACCCGAAACCCGAAACCCGAAACCCAAACCCTAAACCCTAAACCCTAAACCCCACCTAAATAGGATGATTGGAATATCTAGGCTCTTGCCAAGCAGCGCAGGCGGTCCACAACAAGTTGCTCCGCATCGTTCTGCGCAGCGTCGAGGGTGTCTTTCAGGAAGACCTCGGATCTTCCACATATATATATATATATTTCTCAGGCCTCCAATAAACCCCTCAACACCACTAAAACCCTCAGAGGGTTTAGGGTTGGGGGTCTAGATTAAATGTTTTGGGTTTAGAGTCCTTATGACATTTTGATAAGAGTACTCCCTATTAATCAAAACACATTTCGAATTTTTATTGCCGGGGGGGGGGGGGGGGGGCGTTTAATATTAGGGGGATGGGAGTACACCGTTTTACGCCGAAGGAAAGGAAGAGGAGAAAGGGGAAAGCACCCCGGGCTCATAGACTAGTTTTGGGGCTTCGGGTTTAAGGTCTAGGGTCTAATGCCCCTACAAAAACCGATACCTTACTTAAAGAGACCACCAACCCATATAACCCTAAGGGTCCATGTACCTTATTCTTATATACTTGGGCCCCAAAGTCCCTATATAGGAAGTATTCTAAGGCCCAAGTATTCCCTATTTGAAGTAGGGTTTGATTTTCTTGTATCCCCAAAAGGCCACCAAGTATATACACTCACCAATATTAAAAAGGAACCGTATATACACTCAGCAATAACAGTAATATATACCCTGCTTCATTTAGGCACATGGGCCCTTAGGGGGGGGGGGGGGGGTTATACTCTAAACCCTAAACCCTAAACCCTAAACCCTAAACCCTAAACCCTAAACCCTAAAACCCTAAACCTAAAACCCTAAACCCTAAACCCTAAACCCTAAACCCTAAACCCTAAACCCTAAACCCTAAACCCTAACCCTAAACCTCTCTTTCATATATAATTTAAATGTTAAGGAGTTAGGCAAGGTCATTTTTTTACTGGGCAAGGTCATCATTTTTTTACTGGGCAAGGTCATTTTTTTACTGGGCAAGGTCGTTTCGTCCAAAAAAACGACCTTGCCCAGTAAAAAAATGACCTTGCCCAGTAAAAAAATGACCTTGCCCAGTAAAAATGTTACTGGGCAAGGTTACTGGGCAAGGTCATCTTTTTACTGGGCAAGGTCATCTTTTACTGGGCAAGGTCATTTTTTTACTGGGCAAGGTCATTTTTTTACTGGGCAAGGTGGGCAAGGTCATTTTTTTACTGGGCAAGGTCATTTTTTTACTGGGCAAGGTCATTTTTTTACTGGTCAAGGTCATTACTGGGCAAGGTCATTTTTTATTGGGCAAGGTCATTTTTTTACTGGGCAAGGTCGTTTTTTCTGGGCAAGGTCATTTTTTTACTGGGCAAGGTCATTTTTTTACTGGGCAAGGTCACTTTTTTACTGGGCAAGGTCATTTTTTTACTGGGCAAGGTCATTTTTTTACTGGTCAAGGTCATTACTGGGCAAGGTCATTTTTTATTGGGCAAGGTCATTTTTTTACTGGGCAAGGTCGTTTTTTCTGGGCAAGGTCATTTTTTTACTGGACAAGGTCGTTTTTTACTGGGCAAGGTCATTTTTTATTGGGCAAGGTCATTTTTTACTGGGCAAGGTCATTTTTTTATTGGGCAAGGTCATGTTTTTATTGGGCAAGGTCATTTTTTTACTGGGCAAGGTCGTTCCATAAGTGAAATATTTTCATAATGTTGTGGGATTCTTCGGGCGGGTGGGTATTTTTCTGGAGTAATTTATTGACAAATGAATGCTTGGACCTGAGATGCTGAACCCTAAACCCTAAACCCTAAACCCTAACCCTAAACCCTAAACCCTTAGGGGGGGGGGGGGGCATAGGGTTGAGGGTCTGGCGCCGGGGGGGGGGGAAGCTGGAGACGAAGCTCGCAAGCCAGAAGCCCAAAGCATCGACCCTAAAGCCCTAAACTTCCCTGAGCCCTAAACCCTAAACCCTAAACCCTAAACCCTAAACCCTAAACCCTAAAGCATCTGCCCTAAACCCCTAAACCCCTCAACCCTATTGAGGATGCGTGGGGCCCAGAAGGTTCTTTGCTGGCTCGTGCTAACTTTGGAGCCCATGTGGTCCCCGAACGGTGCCTGGCTTGTTGCGACAAAGGCACGGCAGATATGACTCGGATGACCGCGAAGACCACCAAAGTGATGTACGGGACAAAAAATAGTACATAGAACTGGCTAACCTTCTCCAGCACAGGTCTTGCGCTGGTGGGCCAATTGCCAGCCTGAGTCCAGCTTGGAGAAGATGGAACTACAAAATACTATGAAAAACCAAGTAATGCTGACGCATCCATGACTGATCTCCTTGCCAGTTTCATTTTCAGCACGGGATTGCGACCGCCCGTCAACATTAATATCTTTCGTCCCAAGAAAGGGCGATAATATTTGATGCAGGACCCTTGCCCATGTGATGCACCATTGGAAGCATTCAAATTTGCAGAAGACCTTCGAACATTCCAAGCGGCAGTGAAATTGTTTAGGAAATGCATGCACGTAGCTTAGCTCTCCTCCTTTTGAATGTGTTGTGAATTGTAGCAGGGAATTCTACTTTCTGGGAGACTATGTTAGGGGCCCCCTAATTTTCGGAAACCCCCATATGTGTGAGCCGGACCGTCGCGCTCACTTGCAAGAGTTGTTTATGCAACGTTCTGCTCGGATGTGGGGGCTTGATTCTCACATATCGCTCCTCCGCTCAATTAAGCTCTTGATGCTCGTAGTCCACCTCTGTTGTGACATGGTCTCGCGAATGCTGGGCTATCTGTAGCACAGTCTACACAAAGCGTCATTTTCAAAATGTTGGTTTGTTGGTTTGCTTGAATTGTGTCGTGTCCTGCCGTGTCGTGTCGTGACACGTCGTGTTGTGTTGTCTTGTCTTGTTTTTCGTTTTGTCGTGTCGCATTGTTGTGCCTTCTTTTAATTGTGTGTCTGCTTTGTTTTCTTTTGCTTGGATTTGCTTGTTGGTTGGTTTGCTCGTGTGCTCGTGTGCTGGTGTGCCGGTGTGCTCGTGTGCTTGTGTGCTTGTGTGTTTGTATGTTTGTGTGCTTTTGTTTGCTTTCTCCTCCGCTTCATCGTTTGTTTGTTTTGTGTGTGCCTGTGCATACGCAAGTGCGTGTGCTTGTGCTTCTGCATGTACATGTGGGTGGATGAGCAAAGGCACCGTGCACAGGCACGGACACAACTAAGCCACTGACAAATGTAATCTCAAAAAGAGTATACATCGCTCGATAAGCGGTTCCTTGGCTGTCCCATCAAGACGATTGCTGCCATCAAGCGGCTCGTCTGCGTCACGGTTCAAAGAGCAAACCCTAAACCCTAATCCCTAAACCCTAAACCCTAATCCCTAAACCCTAAACTCTAAACCCTAAACCCTGCATCCGGACCCCTCGACCCTAAACCCAAAACCCTGGACCCTAGACCCGAAACCCAAAAGGACGTTTAGGGTTTAGGGTTTAGGGTTTAGGGTTTAGGGTTTAGGGTTTAGGGTTTAGGGTTTAGGGTTTAGGGTTGGGGTTGCCAAGGAAGCGTCCATAGCGCTGGAATACCCACTTCCGGTCCTCGAAATCCATGTCCTCGTTCGCCACGAAGTCTTGCCTAGGATGGCCCTGAAGGTTGCACCCTTGGGGTTTAGGGTTTAGGGCTAGGGTTTAGGGTCTAGGGTTTAAGGTTTAGGGTTTTGGGGAACCGTTTCAAAGCCCCTTGAGGTAGTATAAGGGCCATATTGGGAGTGTATTACGGAGTATCTCTAGGATGGCCCTTCAAACCCGCTGGAAAAAATGTGCCTACATATGATGCTCTTAAATTCAATAAGGGAAAAATGAAAAAAAAAACCCTAAACCCCTAAAGCCTAAACCCTAAACCCTTAACCCTAAACCCTAAACCCTAAACCCTAAACCCTAAACCTACCTAGCTGCAGGAGGTTTCCCATCATGAGAGCTCCCATCGACATGAAGATCAGCAGCAGGACCTGAGGCTGCTGGATTGCTCTAAGCCGACTCAGGGTTTAGGGTTTAGGGTTTAGGGTTTGGGGTTTAGGGTTTAGGGTTCAGGGTTTAGGGTTTAGGGTTTAGGGTTTAGGGTTTAGGGTTTAGGGTTTAGGGCTTCGGGTACAAGGCGGCTTAGGGCTTCGGGGGCAAGGAGCAGGTATGCATGCCAACGCGTGAAGGAGTGAAAAGAGGTTATGCTCCTTCAACTTGAAGCCTGACTGACTAAACCCTAAAGCCGAAAACTTTGCTTGATCCCGAAACCGTTTCAATTCTCAGGCCCCACTATGCTTCAGAGTGCAGCCAGGGCACCATCGCCCAGCAAAGCGAAGGCAGAAAACACTGGCAGGCTTTGACAAGCACGCGCAGCCCTTGGAAGAAGCGCAAGCTTCGCACCTCCGTGAGATTTAGCTAGGTCCCAGAGTACACTAGCCATTGATTGATTTCTTTTGGAGGAGGGGAGGGTTTACAATGTAAAGGGTATATGTGTGGGGGGAAGCGATAAAAATGTTTACTCTGGGTGTCGGGTTCAATATTCGACCCAGCCCCAAAAGAGTTGAAGCTTGATTGTCAGAAGGTTGAAGAAACCCTAAACAATTTCAAACTTTGTCTACATGTGCTACGATAGGTTTTGAACAGCCCCAAACCCTAAACCCTAAACCCTAAGCCCTAAACCCAAAACCCAAAACCCTAAACCCTAAACCCTAAACCCGGGCACCATGCGAACTGCTCGCAGAGACTTCACGGCGCGCATCAGCCGCAGCACCTGAGCTCGCCAAGCATGTGTAATATACTTAATCCCTGTTCCCCTAGGAAGAAAAAAGGATCCTTTTTGTTCATACATATGAAAGCCCATAACCCAAAAAGTAAAAAGGATCCCTAACACTGATCGAGTAGGGGGCCTGAATAATTACAAGGGAATATACCCTAAACCCTAAATGCTAAACTAAACCCTAAACCCTAAACCCTAAACATCAATTTTTCCGACTCCTATAGTAGGTCGGCTTCCGCTCGCGTTCGGCCAGAATCCAAAGGGCTCATGCACCCAAAGAGATCTATGCACATGTTGTAATAAAACTGGTAACAATATATACCTTTTTGAATGCATACGTATATATATATATATATATATACAAAACACAGAGTATGTGCGTATACTGAACGAATGCCCGGACGTCAGTTTGGGGTCCACGTGTTCCTTAAAACCTGAACGCCGGAGAAGGAACAAAAAATAGCCGTGCAACAACTCTTTGTTGGGATGTTCCCCCTTACACGAACAGTCCTTAATAGGGATGATGGGACCCCCTACTACAATCCCTATTTAGGACTGTTAGTATAAACCTAAGGGTCCATGTACCTACATGGGGAATACTTGGGCCTTAAAGAACTTCCTATATAGGGACTTGGGGGCCCAAGTATATAACAATAAGGTACATGGACCCCTAGGGTAAGGGGAACTTCCCCAAACCCTAAACCCTAAACCCTAAACCCTAAACCCTAAACCCTAAACCCTAAACCCTAAACCCTAACTTCTTTGCCCCCAAGGCACCACGATACTCTTTGAGGCGCCACCAGCGTCGGCGAGGAAGAGGCTGAGTGCGAGGTCTACCTTGGTTGACTTCTGAGCCCCCCCCCATAAGGGTTTAGGGTTTAGGGTTTAGGGTTTAGGGTTAAGGGTTTAGGGTTTAAGGCCAGAAGAAAGCCAAGCTACAGCCCCGGAGAACACGAGGACCGTGTCGAAGAGATTTGCGATGTCCTTGACGAACATCCATCGCTCAAACCAAACCCTCAGTGACCACTCGCACACGAAGATGAGAACCTGGGCAGCCCAGGAATCACATTATACTAAGGGCACCCTTTTCTTGGGGTTGGTTTCTTGGTTGCTTCATGAGGGAACCCTTGAAGCAAAAAAAGGGGAAAAGGGTGCCACCCTAAACCCTAAACCCTAAACCCTAAACCCTAAACCCTAAACCCTAAACCCTAAACCCTAAAACCCTAAACCCTAAACCCTAAACCACTGGGCTACCAAGGAACGAAAAGCGCGTCGATGACCAAAAAGGCGGAATCCGTTGCCTTGGTGGGCAGCAGAATTTGCAATCAACAGGGTTTAGGGTTTAGTAGGGTTTAGGGTTTAGGGTTTAGGGTTTAGGGTTTAGGGTTTAGGGTTTAGGGTTTAGGGTTTAGGGTTTAGGGGCTCTAGCTCAGGCCCAAAAACTCTAAACCCTGAACACAACTCTGTCTGAGCAAGGATTTCGACAGTAGAGGTTCGGGATTCGGGCACCGTACGGACACAAAACACAGGGTGCTCGATGTCGCCGAAGAGAAACCCCTTGTCCAAACACAAGGGAAATGGCGTGGAATGCTTCATCTGATCCCTTAGGCTCACGATGTGACTCACAACAGCCCAAACACCGTTTATAAGAAGGACATTGGGAACGCCCTCAAGAAAGAGTCCTTAGTTTCCCTCGAGTGCCAACGCCAGCAGACTAGCTCATCTTCATAGCACATGCAGCCGCCAATCAGGTCCAAGGAAAAAGTTTTACCCCAAGAGTCCATGTACCGAAGTATTGTAAACTTGGGCCCCAAATATGTAGGAACCACTTTAAGGCCCCAAGCATCCCCTATTTAGGTGCCCCTAAACCCTAATCCCTAAACCCTGAACCCTAAACCCTTTCTCGGTACATGGACCCTCAGGGTAGGTTTTAGGGATTTAGTGCGTTTTAGGGTTTTAGGGCAAGCGCTCAAGCATCGACTTGTCACCCACAACCACGGAAACTCCCTGAGCCCTCAGCCCTAAGCCCTAAATCTTGGGATGTCCCCCCTTATACTGACAGTCCTTAATAGGGACTATAGTCAGCATCTATTATCATTCATATTAAGGACTGTTAGTCTAGGTGGGGAACATCCCAACCTAAACCCAGAACCAATACAACCCTGAAGCAAAACAAAGAACTGGAGTGGACAGGGCTAGACAAGCCTCGTGGTTTGGGGCTTGTCATGATTAAGCCCTAACCCCCTTGCGTGTAGTTTTGGGCGTCAATGTTGTAGTCCTAAACCCTAAACCCTAAAACAAAACCCAAAAGCCACAAACCATTGCAGTGACCAGGTGACACTCGAATATGCGTGGCCTTCCAGTCCGAAGATCGGCCCTAGCTCCCGGCCAGAGAGTTCGAACTCCTGACTGGTGAAGAGGGACATCGGTTTAGGGTTTAGGGTTTAGGGTTTAGGGTTTAGGGTTTAGGGTTTGGGGTTTAGGGCTTCGGGCTCAGGTTTCAGGGTTGAGGGGGGGGGGGGGGGGGGGGGGCAAGAATGGCGTGAGGCTTGCTTCTGGGGGATTCCGAGGAGAGTCTTGTGCATGTGAATAAGTATAGTCTTACTGCTTATGCCGAAGTTTAGGGTACAGGACTTAGTGCTTAGGGTTTAGGGTTCAGTTTGACACAATCCTAAGGGTTGTTGAAATTTGTTTGGCCCTTAATCCATAAACACGATGTATGTTCTCAGGGTAGTCACATGGTCCCTCAGTGTTGGCCCTTAATTCGGGACCCCCTAAATACCCCTTAGATACCTTGTTCAGTTCAAGGGCCCATACTTCAGAACCCTTTACAGGTTTATAGGGTTTAGGGTTTAGGGTTTAGGAATTAGGGTATCGGATTTAGGGTTTCGGGTTAAGGTATGGGGCTAGCCTTAGACATGGAGACCCTGCGGGCCCCCCTAGTTAGGCAACAGTTGCCTACACGCATGGTCAGCGAATGTGGTGCAGCTGGGTTCATGGTGGAAACAACGGCGGCTGTGAAGCATCTCTATCGCTCCCTACGAGTACCTAGGGTTTAGGGTTTAGGGTTTAGGGTCTAGGGTTTAGGGTTTAGGGTTTAGGGTTTAGGGTTTAGGGAACCACTACTCATCGGTTCACACAAAGGTGTAGGGTTTTGGGCCTTGGGTTTAGGATTTACGGATTCGTGACTGCGACCTTTGCCTTTCTTCAGGATGTGGGCAGGCAGCTATGAACCCTTGAACCCTAAACCCTAAACAGTAAACCCTAAACCCTAAACCCCGCCACCTTAAAGCGTGGAATGCCGGCAGCCATGCCTGATCAACCCCTAAGGGCTACACCCCTCCCCCCTTAGTATGCCCCCGAGACTCCAAAGACTAAGACGCGCCAAGATGAAAGCCCTAGAATCTCAAGCAGCCCTAGCCCCAAACTCAAAGAAGAACGGAAATTCATGCACGGGATACCAAGGTCCCTGGCACCCAAATTCAAATCCTAGTGCCCCCCAAAAGCACTAGAAAAACCAAAGCTCTAACACCTTGAGCCCAGAGACCCTCCTATTCCTAACGCTCTAAACCTTCAAACCCCTAAATCCCACGACCCTAAGCATCCGTACTCGGCCAGTGAGGGGGCCCTGTTGGACAGTATTCTTCATGAACTTAGGTATGTGATATTTAAGATGTGGGGCCTGCAAACAAATTAAACCATTTGCACACACAAACGAAGCGTAAGTGCAACGAGGCTGACCCTTCTGAACCAGCAAACTAAACATGAACCCCGATGTGGGATCTGGTCTAGGGTTTAGGGTGAGATTCAACACAAATACCAACTGACCGGAGCCTTTGCTCGGGTTGTCCCCAACTTCCCAACCCTGCGCCAGGCAGCCCTTTTTCCCCAAACCCCTGACCCCAAAGCCCCTGAACCTATCCTACTCCCCCAAACACCTCTCTGTGCCTCTAGACCTCCCTGCACCCCAAAACCTCGAAAGCCTAAACCTGTAAAACGCGTGAACCCCTAAACCCCTATAACCCCCTAAACCGCTAAACCGCTAAACTCCTAAACTTCCAACCCTGAACCCCCAGACCCGCACACCCCTAACCCTAAACCTTAAAACCTATCGAAGAGTCCACCAGCATGATGAAGGAATTCAGGAGGACGAGGGCTCCAGCGAAGTAGTCTAAGGATCCCCGCAAGGTCTTGAAGCTCATGGTGTGGTCCTGGGGTTTAGGGTTTAGGGTTTAGGGTTTAGGGTTTAGGGTTTAGGGTTTGCGGTTTCGGGTTTAGGGCTTAGGGTTGCATTAAGGGTTTAGGGTTTAGGGCTTAGGGTGCAGGGTTTATGGGTTAGAAGACTTATGGGTTTAGGGTTCGCGGACTTGGAGAAGAGATTGAGGGTTCAGGGTTGGGAGTTTAGGGGTGTTGAAGAGAAGCCTAAACCCTGAACCCTGAACCCTGAACCCTGAACCCTAAACCCTAAACCCTAAACCCTAAACCCTAAACCCTAAACCCTAAACCCTAAACCCTAAACCCTAGGAACCCTAGGAACCCTAAGGATGCCCAAGCTTGTGCAGGGTGCTTTAGTTCAGCTAGGATGTCGAGGAACTCCTTGTCTTATGTGCTTTACAGACTTGTATACGCGTAGGGTTTAGGGTTTAGGGTTTAGGGTTTAGGGTTTAGGGTTTAGGGTTTAGGGTTTAGGGTTTAGGGTTTAGGGTTTAGGGTTTAGGGTTTAGCGTTTAGGGTTTAGGGTTTAGGGTTGAGGGTTGAGGGTTGAGGGCTGAGGGTTGAGGGCTTATCCTTTTTTAAAGGGTGCCGCCTTATAAGGGGTACCCAAAAGGGGCCCTAATTTAGGAAACTACCCATATACTAGACCCTGAGCTCCGTAAACTAAACCCCGCTAGTTAGCAGACCCAAAATGACACGCTGAGTCCCGGATTTGGCGGAATTCCGAAATGTTGAAGGACCATTTTCTTTCTTGAGGGTATACTTGGAGGTCCAAGGGTACTGTTAAGTAGGGTTATATGTACCCTGAGTAAGGTCATAAGTTATAACCCTGATTAACCGACCTATAGCCTCCTTATGGTACTCATGAACCTCGAAGTAACCCTAAACCTCAAACCCTCAACCCTCAACCCTAAAACCCTACATGAACCTCCCAGCACAGATTACTCAAGGAAGGTGTCTCAGGGGCATTGTTGCCTTGTTTCTCTCGGCTTTGTCTTTCCCCTTCGTTCTGCACCAGGGTTTAGGGTTTCGGGTTTAGGGTTTAGGGTTTAGGGTTTAGGGTTTAGGGAAACAGTCTTCAAGCAGGCGCACATCACGGGTTTGGGGTTTAGGGTGCAGGCTTCTGTGAGGTTCGACGGTCCACATAGGGCGGCTGAATCATTCGGGGCAACCCTAAACCCTAAACCCTAAGCCCTAAACCCTAAACCCTAAACCCTAATAGGGCTCTGGAGCTGGGGCTGGGGTGCAAAATATGTTCACCTCCATACCGCCGGCTTTGAATGCGCGCAAGAACCAAGAGTGAACCCTTAACCTAAACCCTAAACCCTAAACCCAAAACCCAAAACCCTAAACCCTAAAACCCTAATCGTTCATCAACCGTATTTCAACCCCAAACCCCAAACCCAAAATCCTGTAAAGCTCTGTAACCCTCTGCTCCCCCACTCTTAAGTGTGGGATGGTCCTGGACGGAGGCAGTGTGCGCGACGATCCTGTCCGCCTGGCACACGGCTTTGATTTCAACCCTAAACCCTCAAATCCTCAAACCCATGAGCCCCTCAAATCCTGAAAAACCTTAAGCCCTTAAATTCAAAGACCTTGAACCCATGGCGCCTGGTTCTTCGCAGAGCCAATTTTCTTGTCGTACTCTTTCATCGAGGCATGCGAGAAAGGTGTCGTCTGACGTCCCCTCAGAGCAGGCGGGTCTTCGAGTTTAGGGTGTTTAGAATTTGGGGTCGACTCTACCAACGAGGCTTAACATAACCCCCCAAAAGCCTTATGTAGTAAGGCCTTTGGGAACAACACCTAAAACAAGAACCCTTGGAGCCTTTAGGTAATATTTTCCTTTCTAGTGATTGTAGTGCACTCCATTCAACCCTTAAAGAAGAAGTCATACCGGGCCCCAAACAACGAACGAACTAAACTTTTCAGGTATAAGATAGTTAAGATTTAGGGTAAAGTCTAAAGCCAACAAGTCCCGGCCTGAGAAGCTTAGTGGTTCAGGCTTTAAGGATTTTTCGAGAGGTGTCGGCCCTACAAGCCTTAACCCCAACCAGGCCCGGGAGCAGCCCAGGAAAAGGAAGGGTGCCCTTTTGGGTGTAAAGGGGCGTACAGGGGAATAGGGGAACCCAAGCCCGAAAAAAGGGAAATTGGGGCCTAATCTGGGTCCTAGTGAACCCTAACCTGCCCACATGCGCAGTCCTGTTATCAGGACAACGCGGTGCACCCTCATTCCAGCAAGTGATGTGGACAGAAGGTTAAAGTACAGCTGTAAGTACTCAGCTACGAACCCGACCACTACACTCCAAGTGGAACTTAATCCTAAACCCTATGAGCTCTCGCTTGCAATTGTTGTGCCTTTGGCTGCACGACCCGGGACCCCGGACCCGCCCATCAATGCATAAACGTACGTAGGCAGGCAGGCGTGTATAGACAAATAAATTAGTAAATAAATATAAATAAAGAAATACATATATCTATATATATATATATTCATAAAAGTAAAAAAGGAAGTATATATACATTATAAATATATCCGCTGCTTAAGCTAACTGCCGCATAGTTGCACCGTATGGCGCATGCCTCCTAAACCTGGATGCGTGACGTGATGGCCGCATTCTCCACAACTGAAACATAATACTGGGGGCTTGGTGAGGGCATCTGCTCTGCGAAGTACGCTCCACAACTCCCCCCCCCTCCTGCTTCTTCTGAGCGAAAACAAGTCAAGCTGGAAAAACGAAACAGCTTTAACCGCCAAAACCCCGAAAGCCACTTCTCCTGCCCAAGCCCTAGATCACCAAAGGCTTACATAACCCTAGGCCCTCAGCCCTAAGCCCTAAACCCTAAACCCTAAACCCACTAACCGTCATCCCGGCCACATGTTCCCACCAGGAGTGGTCAGAGAATTGTAGACTGAATCCGTCGACAGGTCAGAACTCTGGGATGAGTCGTTGGAGCCGTCCTGACAGGTGGCTGGAAGAGATTAGGGTTTAGGGTTTAGGGTTTAGGGTCTAGGGTTTAGGGTTAGGGTTTAGGGTTTAGGGTTTAGGGTTTAGGGTTTAGGGCCAACTTTCCACCCAACGCTGGAGGCTGCTCGAAAGCAAGTGGCAGGAATTCTTGGGTACCAGGTATATATACCTGCTCGAAACCCTAAATCCTAAACCCGAAACTCTAAACCCTAAACCCTAAACAATAAACCCTAAGCACTAAACCCTAAACTCCACACTCTAGACAACCCTAAACCCTAGCGGAGTAGTGAAAGGACTTTCCAAAGCGGTTCGGGTCTGTTGTAGTACGGCCGAACTCGCTTCAATGCTTAGGGTTTAGGGTTTAGGGTTTCGGGTTTGGCGTTTAAGGTCAGGGATCATTTGCAGCCTCTCCTGCCTCGCGAACCGTTCGGTCCCAGTTTACAACAGCGTCTTTAGACCTCTGGGGCTCATCTAAGTTGAGTTCATTAAAGAATTCTTCAGGGGAGGGGGGTTCAAGAGGGGTATGTAAGCCAAGGTTCCCTTACACTCCCCACTCCCTGAGGCTCCCTAAGCTTCCTGAAGGTCCCCCCCTCCCTTAAGAACCTTATGAGTTCACGGTTGTGGGAGCGCAACCGGCCAAGACGTGTGCGCACACAAAGAAACCCTAAAGCCTAAGCCTAGGGCTCCAAGGACTCTTGCATGAAGGTGTTGTCGGGCCCATGGGCCTTATGTTGAGCCTGATAGCCCTAAACCCTAAACCCTAAACCCTAAACCCTAAACCCTCAACCCTAAACCCTAATCGTTTAAGGTCAAGGGCTTGTGGGCTTCGACACACCCTATGTCCTAAAACCACAGAACCTCCAACGGGAAACCGCAGATCCAAACCCCCGGTTTAGGGTTTTAGGGTTTAGGGTTTAGGGTTGAAGGCTCAGGGTTTAGGGTTTAGAGTTTAGGGTTTTAGGGTTTAGGGTTTCAGGGTTCATGCCCGAAGCCCGAACCTCAACCCGGAAAACAGCTCCAACAACCCACGCACAGTCTAAGAAGGAGATGCACCAGCTTTTGTTTTGGTACATGTACCCACGTGTAGAATTTACGTATGACTTGGGATGTTCCCCCTTATGCTAACAGTCCTGAATGGGGATTATCATACCCCCTATGATGATCCCTATCAAGGACTGTTGCAACATTGTTAGTATAACGGGGAACATCCCAATGTAAGGTTACTTCACGAAGAAACCCTAAACCCTAAACCCTAAACCCCATTCAGTGCCATACGAATACGACTCCATGAAGCCGAGGGTCGTTCACAATCTCATTCTCCACCTGCTGGCAGGAACGCCCATACCCGAAGCCCTGAGCCCTAAACCCTAAGCCCTACAAGCCCTAAGCCCTAAATAGGCTATCCTTGGGCCCTCATGCAAAAAGGAAGCGCTCGCATCGACAAGAAAGTTTCGTGCGCGCGCGGCTCGCATGGCGCGCCGTGGAACGCTTATCAGGGTTGGAGGTTCATGGTACTTAGTAACCCAATTACGACTGTACTTGTCACCCAATTATAGCCCGATTAGGGTACTCATGGGGCTTATAAGTGGGTTGGTTCTAACTATACTTATAGCTGGGTTCTCAGTACCCTCAACCCTAAACCCTAAACCTGGTACTTGTTTAAATTTACTAAGAACCTCCAAGTAGGGTTGAGGCCGTGAAAAACATGCAGAGTGCTAGGACGGCTTGGGAAACAATAATGCCAATACTAATATATCACGAATCCGAATAATAATGCTGATGCTAAAGAAACCATAGCAGTCGCAATAACTGTGGAAACGAAAAAAAACAACCAGAACTCGCAAGGAATAGATGAAAAGTCAACGTCACAGAAACCTAACCCTAAACCCTAAACCCCTAAACCCTAAACCCAGGAGCTCCATAGTTAATGGGCTTATTTGGAGGTTCAGGGTACTTCTAACCCGATTACAAGGGTAGTTATAAGCCACTTCTTCGCCCCTGAAGTACCCCCAACAGCCCCCCAGTAGGGCTATAATTGCGTGATAAGTGTAGCTATACTTGGGTTACTAAGTACCCTGAACCTCCCAGTAGGGTTTAGGGTGGACGGGGTTTGGGTTTAGGGTTTAGGGTCTAGGGTCTAGGGTCTAGGGTCTAGGGTTTAGGGTTTAGGGTTTAAGGGTTCAGGGTTTTGGGGCTTACATGGTTGGGGTTTACGTTTTAGGGATAATGGCTCTAAACATCACGTCTGGACGTGGAAACCAGGGCCACTCCTGCTTCTGGGGGCAGGAGGAGAGTGAGTCAATCCCACCCTCGACCCTAAACCCTAAACCCTAAACCCTAAAAGGGCGCCTCGCACTTCTCAGCCGTAGAACGCCAACTTGCGTTGTCACACTGAGTGTCTGCCTGGCTGTCCAGCCTGAAGAGTTCGGGCTTTTGGTTTTGGGCTTTGGGTTTAGGGTTTAGGGTTTAGGGTTTAGGGTTTAGGGTTTAGGGTTTAGGGTTTAGGGATTAGGGTTTAGGGCTCAAGGTTTAGAGCTCAAGGTTTAGGGTTTAGGGTTTAGGGTTTAGGGTTTAGGGTTTAGGGTTTAGGGTTTAGGGTTTAGGGTTTAGGGGTTAGGGTTTAGGGTTTAGGGTTTAGGGTTTAGGGGTTAGGGTGTTTGGTTTGTGGACCAAATGAACCCTAAAATTGGTGGTCATATACCCTATACTACTACATAGTCCCTATTTGGGTATGTGAACCATGGACCCTCTAAACCCTAAACCCTAAGCCCTAAACCCTAAATCCTAAACCCCAAACCGTTCATTTGGTCCACAAGGTGGGTTCGGATTTAGGTTCAAGGGCTGACAGTTTCATTAGGGCTCTGTTCAGTAGGCGGTTTAGCCCCATTCCGGGTGGCACGTGTTGGGATTCGGGAAAGCTGAAACCGAAAACCCGTAAACCCGTAAACCCCTAACCCCTAACCCCTAAACCCTAAACCTAAACCCTAGACCCTAAACCCTAAACCCTAAACCCTAAACTTATGAAAACGCCGGGCCCAAAGAGCCCAAGAACTCCCCCTAAGCAGAACCGAGAAGACTCCCATGCACAAAGGCCGGCACATAGCCGAATCTAATAGAAGGGCCAATTCCCTAAACCCTGTACGAACCCTTAGTTGCTGAGTTCATAACAAAAGTGTACACTCTCAGTTCTATAGGGGATTATGGTATCCAGAAAGTGTAACTAAAGTGTACTCACTCAGCTACTAAGAACCCTAAACCCTAAAAACCCTAAACCCGAAAGCCTAAACCCGACATGGGTATTTTGGGAAATGCGGACCGAAGTCTGTGCGATGAAGGTGAAGCAGAGGTCTTGTACACCGACAATCAGAATGGGTATTTGGGCTAGGCTTAGAGGGCTTCTGGGTAGCTTTTCTAGACCCCAGAGTATCCTTGGAGTAGAATAAAAGGGTCCCCTTTGTTTATAACAAGGGGCTTACCAGGGAACCTAAGCCCCCCAAAAGGGAATGAGCGCCTACTTTGGGTGCTAGGTTGGCTGTTGGGTAGCTTTTACGACCATGATGCAGAAGTCTAAGGCTGCCGGGTATATATATATATGTATATATATATATATGTATATACATATGTATGCGGCTCTGCATGGTGGTTGAAGGCATTAATATGTTAACGGCTGAATGTTGTGTTCACTAGCCTGGCAAAAAAACTGCCCATGATTATCCTAAGGGTCCAAGTACCTTATTATATACTTGGGCCCTAAACCCTAAACCCTAAACCCTAAACTACTAAACCCTAAACCCTAAACTTTAACCCTGGACCGGTCCTAGGGGTCCTTGCGGGTCAAGGAGCTTCCCATCAAAGCCCACATGGCGTGGGATGGGATCCTGAAGAGCTCGGGGAGGGGCGGGGGGCAGTTTGGGTCCAGGGATCTGTCAGCTTGAAGTTCGGTTTAGGGTTTAATGTTGTCTGCTGATTAGTGTGACCCCCCCCCCCCCCCTCAACGAAAGGATCCCCCTCTTTAGTGGGGGGGGGGGGGGGGGGTTTGGGGGGGGGGGGGGGGGGAGGACTGAGAAGGCCCAGAAGGAGCTCCAGAAGCTTCCTTCAAAGGAGCTCAGAAGGCTTTCTTCTTTACTTTCTCAGAAGAATTTCAGAAGACGGCCTCGCCGAAATTTTGCATCGCCCGATTTTTTTTTCACACTTCCGGGGGTCCGCCTCAAATAGATCCCCCTGAATAATTTTTGGGTTTTTTTCCACAATTCCGGGGGAGCACACTAATCAGGATACAACATTAGGGTTTAGGGTTTAGGGTTTAGGGGTTAGGGTTTAGGGTCCTAGGGTCCTAGAGTCTAGGGTTTCGGGCTTTTGGGGGTTTGCACGGCTTCAGGTCTTCAGGGTACAGGAGTCTGAAAGTTTCGGGCTTTTTGTGGGGGCTGGGGGCCTTGCTGGGCTTCGGGTTCCTAGGGTTTAGGGTTTAGGGTTTAGGGTTTGGGGTTTGGGGTTATGGGGACTTAGAGGGTTTAGGGTTTCGGTTTGTGGGCCTGGGGTCCCCGGATAAAGTGAGAGAGCTGGAGGCGGGTGCTGTGCGGCGTGCAGTGTAGGGTCCTAGGGTATGGAGTCAAAACCCTAAACCATAAACCCTAAACCCTAATTTTGTATTATCTTGATGTTATGGGATTCTTTGGGTGGGATATTTTCCAGTCGCTTGCAAAGCTGCTTGACTAGCGAAAGCTCAAACATGAGATGCTGCACCCGAAGCCCTAAACCCTAAACCCCAAAGCCCTGCGATCTTTGGCCTGCTTTTCAACGGGTTATTGCCAACAGATCTGGTGAGCTCAAGATCCAGTGGTTGAAAACTCACCAGGATATACGCCAGGCTCTGTCTTGGATTGACGCATGGGGTATATATCACAATCAAATGGCTGATCATTGGGCTCGTGAAGCTGCAAACTTGTTGCCTGCCTCTGCTCTAGAGGCTTTCCGTTCTTTTCGGGCTGACACGTTATGTATTTCTGCTAGCAAGGCTGCTGTCGCGGGTCTTCTTCGTACGGTATGGGATGCTTTTCCTTTGTTTTCTTCTCTATCTCACACGCCATCTGCAAGTGCAGGCGGATCACAGACTTTGGACCGTCCTGCTTGAGTGCACGTGCCCAAAGACCTACCTCCCCCCCCCCCCCCAAAAAAAAAAAAAAAAAAAAACACCAAGCCCTGAACCCGCCCAGTTAAGGAGCCATATGATGAGAAGGAAGTGGGTTCATAGGGCTTAGGCTTTAGGGTTCACTTCCCAACCGCGCAGACTGCCTTGAAATCACCAAACACCCACCGCACCCCCGAACTCTAAACGCCGAAATTTGTAAACTTTAACGTAATGAAGACCCCACCCACCCCCAAGCCCACCCCCAAAATATGAAAATGCACAGGACAGGTACCCTAAACCCTAAACCCTGATCCCTAAACCCGTGACATCGAAGGGACGCTGTTGGACAACACCGTTGGCTGCGCCGGCGCAGCGGTCGTCCCCAGGGTCGTCCCCAGGCTCGCCCCCAGGCTGACTTTACCTCGTGGATTTTGAACTTGCTAGGTTTTAATGGGTTTTAAGTGCAGATATAATTGGTTAATAAGTACCATGGACCTGCAAGTGGGCCCGTTGGCCCAAGCTAGGTTGCCCAGCAACCTAGTAGTCTCGGGTTTAGGGTTCCCTAAACCCTAAAACCCTAAACCCTAAAACCCTAAAGGGTGGCACCGGGGGTCCGGCGGAGGGATCCGTTGCCGACTTATTGGCTTGGCAGGCTCGGGGGGGGGGGGGGGGGGGGGGGTTAGGGTTTAGGGTTTTAGGTTTTAGGGTTTAGGGTTTAGGGTTGAGGGTTGAGGGTTGAGGGTTCAGGGGGATGTAGTCGCCATCTCTTGCGGATAACCGTAGCGGGCTATGCCACGGGCACGTGGCTGGGACCGCTCGAGCGCTCCCAAGCCAGCGGCTGTAAGCTGACTGCTAGCTGCCGATATCGCGGTGGCCGCCGTGGAGGGAGCCTTTGTCGAAGCGTCGTCCTCAAAGATGTCTTTCCGCATCTTCTTGTCCTGGCTCTTCTGCGCCGCCATGCTCAGCGTGGGCGACAGCTAAGGGGGCAGGGCTGGAATCGGCTGGAACTCCGTGAGGATTTGGCGAGGTTTAGCGCTCCTAGAGCTACATGCATTTATGCACAAGCTTGAAATGTGAAGTCCTCAAATACGAACTGCTCCGAAATCTTCTGCCGGGGTACAAGGGGGGGGTGTGTATAGGGCTTGTGGGGTTCTTTAGGTATCTTAAGGCTTGTAGCCTTTTTGGAGAAGGGTTTGGGGTTTATAGGGTTTACGGTTTAGGGTTTGTGGTCTAAGGTTTAGGTTTTAGGGCTTGGGATTTGGGCTTAAACTCGACACAGAGAACACCCTGTGCAATATGGCCTTTAAAGGCCCGACAGATCGAAGCCCCAACGGTAACAGTTAGGGACCAGAGAGCTTGAGGGGTTTAGGGTTTATGGTTTAGGGTTGAGGATTTAGGGTTTAGGGTTAGGGTGGAGGGTTTAGGGTTTAGGGTTTAGGGTTTAGGGTTTAGGGTTTAGGGTTTAGGGTTTAGGTGACCTTGGACATTCGTAGTGCAGTTCTGGGCTTTTTAGGACCTCTTCCGGCACACGCCTCTCTGAGTCCAACCGGCTAGATTAGGGTTTAGGGTTTAGGGTTTAGGGTTTAGGGTTTATAAGGTTTAGGGTTTAGGGATTGATTCTGAGCTAAGCCCTGCCCTCTAAACCCAGGACCCAAAGCCCGAACCTGAAAGTCTAAACCCTGAACCCGTAACCGCAACCTGAAGCCCACAATCCTAACCCCAGCCGCACCCAAATCCTCGAAGAGGCTCAAACCATCGGGGTTTGGGGCGTAGGGTTTAAGGTTAAGGCCTTAAGAGCCTAACATGCCCCTTAGGGACAGGTACCAATGATTTTGGCATCCTTCCTTTTCGAAGTATACCAACTACCCTGGACCCTTAAACCCAAAACCCTGAACCCAATTTCAGCTGTAGAACGGCTGACTTGGGGGTTTGGGCGCGTTGGCAACGCCTTGGCTGCAGTGGGCACAACACGCTCAAAACTTCAAACTCCATGCGTGCAAAGCAGTGCAAGGGTAGGGTTTTGGTTTCAGGGCTTAGGGTTTAGGGCTTAGGGTTCAGGTTCTGACTCCGCTTCCGTGACTTTCGGTCTGAAGTTTGCAAAAACACCTACATGTCGTGTTTTGGGCTGCATACTTGGGGTTGTGCAACACTTACAACACCGCCCCTCAAAAGCCCTACTTAGAACTACCATTCAAGATTCTCCAGAAGACCCTTAACGCTGCACCCTACTAACCCGAAAATGCGAATAACCCCAATCGTCCCTCCCGGGTTCAAGCATTTACTACGTCTTGGCGCAAAAAAACTTGAATCCCTCCTCCTCCCTCCCCCTCCCTCCCCCTCCCTCCCCCTCCCTCCCCCTCCCTCCCCCTCCCTCCCCTCCCTCCCCCTCCCTCCCCCTCCCTCCCCTCCCCCCCCTCCCCCCTCCCCGCTCCCCTTGCCCAGAACTAAAGGAGGGAACCTCATAAAGGGAGCTTAGGGGTTATTTGGGGGTTATCTAGGGGCTACTTTTGGTATATTCTATATAAGGTGTGTGTGTGTGTGTCTATTCGGGGCTAGAGAGGGGAATAAGATGAAGGCCCTAAACCCTAAACCCTAAACCCTATACCCTAAACCCTAAACCTTAAACCCTAATAAAACCCTAAACCCTAAACTCCTTAAAATCCTTAAGGATCCATGGCAGATCAGGGTTCGGCCAGAAGGTCTTGAAGCCTGTTGAAGGTGATGTCCAACTGCTCCCCCCAGGCCTGCGACGTTTAGGGCTTGGGTTTGGGGTTTAGGGTTTGGGGTTTAGGTTTTAGGGTTTGAGGTTTAGGGTTGAGGGTTTAGGGGAACTGAGGGGGTCCTTAGGGGACCACACGAACCCCTGAAAAGCTTTGCGGGCTCCAGGACTCATATCGCCTGGCTGACTTCTGAACCCCTCCTAAAAGTTCAACTTGTTGGCTCCTAATTGTAGTTCCACCAAAGCCCACAAAGTTAAAGTCCTAAGAGCCAGCCAGAAGAAAGGCAAGTTCTGGCATCAGGCTTTGCGACGAAGGCAAGCACGGGGCACTATTAGGATTCCCTGAACCGCATGCGCAGATTTGGGGGTGTAGGGTTTATAGGGTTTGGGGTATAATTAGGGTTAGGGTTTAGGGTTTAGGGTTTAGGGTTTAGGGTTTAGGGTTTAGGGTTCAGGGTTCAGGGTTCAGGGTTCAGGGTTTAGGGTTTAGGGTTTAGGGTTTAGGGGACCCTGCGCCTCCGGGGCATACGACGGGCTACAGAAGGACTCCCAACAAATGGCGCTTGGGGTTACGAGGGCCTAAGCCCTAAACCCCAAACCCTAAACCCTAACCCCTCAACCAAGGGTTGTGGGTTTCCCGGTGGGCCCAGGAACCCTGGGCGAAGGAAAGATGCCCTTCGCTGTAAAGCAGCTCAAAACCCTGCATGCTGAATGAATATGGGTAGTTCTCTAAATTGGGGTCCCTTTTGGGGATCCTGTTTGACTTACAAGGGGTACCCGAAAAGGGAGCCTAGTTTAGAGAACTACCCAAACTATGAGAAAACTCACTGCTCTTCAGAAGAATGGCTCCCTAAACCCTACAAAGCCTAAAGCCTAAACCCCAAAACCTAAACCCTAAACCCTACATCCAAAACCCTAAACCCTAATTCCTACACCCTACACCCTACACCCTAAACCGAACCCGCTACACCCTAAACCCCATACCTTAAACGGGGGTTGTCGTCCAGCACCCCGTACATGGAAGAACACATGTTTCTGAAGTGCGTGGGCCTGCAGTCTACAGAGGATCCCGGGTGTAGGGACCGGTGTGCCCTAAAGGCCTAGGGCTTAGTGTTTAGGGTTTAGGGTCTAGGGTTTAGAGGCTAAACCCGAAACCCTAAACCCTAAACCCTAAACCCGGGGGTCGGGCCACGCCTGCTGGTGCATGCTTGCCATCTGCGCCAGGGCGATCTGTTCGTCTGCGATCAGGTCCAGTACGGCCTAAGAGCTGGCGGGTTCTGAGCCGGGAATGAGGGAATGAGATACCCTGCATAATCCCTTAAAGGATATATATAAATATATATATATATATACATATATGTATTTATTCATTTGTTTATACATATATATATATATATATATCTCTCTCTCTCTCTCTCTCTCTCTCTCTCTTGGCGGGGGGGGGGGGGGACCATATATATATATATATATCTAGTTTTTTTGTTTCTTTATATATATATATATATAAGCCCCTAATTCCCTGTCCCTGCTGAGAACAACTAGGGGGATAGAGCTCCGGATGGACTTAGTGACGCGCGCTCCCATACCCCTCAGGCTCAAGATAGCCCCAGAAAACCTCGTAAAAGTTTAGGGTTTAGGGTTTAGGGTTTAGGGTTTAGGGTTTAGGGTTTAGGGTTTAGGGTTTAGAGGAGTCCTGAGAGTTGAGCGCCGGCAGGGTTTAAAATGCCAGTAGTGGGGCGATTAGAGTTAAACCCTAAACCAATAAACCCTAAACCCTAAACCCTGGGTTTAGGGGGCACCCCGCAACCCACGTGACAGTTTTAGCATTGTCTGCCGCCGGCCTCTTGGAAGCCCTCCTTTTTTGTACACACACACACACACAGCTACCTAGTTGAGGTCCCTAAAGGTCCCCAAACCCTAAACCCTTGCACCCAAAACCCTAAACCCCAAACCCTAAACCCTTGCACCCAAAACCCTAAAGCCCACCCAAAACCCTAGAGCCTAAACCCTTAAACCCCAAACAACCCCCCCCCCCCCCCTCGTTTTGGTCAGATTGCTTGGCGGCTCGGGGGCCTTGAGGTTTTAACTGTTGGCTTCTACGGATGCATCGAGCCTAAAGCCTAGAAGGGATCCTGACCCTGGAACACATAGGTGTCCCCCAAAAGGGATCCTGACCCTGGAACACATAGGTGTCCCCTAAACCCTAAACCCTAAACACTAAACCCTAAACCCTAAACCCCAAAAGTCTAGAAGGGATCCTGACCCCGGAACACTTAGGTGTCACCCAAACACCCTAAACCTCCCAAGAATGGGTACTGCTTGGGTCTCCAAGCCACTATTTAGCAAGCGAATGTAAAGCCTAAGCACCCAAAGCCTAAACCCTAAACCCTAAACACTAAACTCGTTCTTAATCAAACCGCACGAAACACCCTGAAACCACAAGACTCAATCCGACGCAGGAGCCTCCATCCCCGTGCTTGGCCTCCAGGGCTCTCAGGAGATTCTATGAATAGGGTTTAGGGTTTAGGGTTTAGGGTTTAGGGTTTAGGGTTCAGGGTTCAGGGTTTAGGGCATATAGGGGATCGTGCTTTTTGAACTTGGGTTTGTGCAGGCCTTCGGTCCGAGTACCCAAAACTACAAGCGATATGAAAACGGAATGTAGTTGAGGACGCTCCGACGATTTTGCGGGCTCAATTCAGGTTCACATCAATTTCAACGGCGTGTCTACCCTGGGGCTTCTTTGTAGTTTCCGTTCAGAAAGGCTTGCCGCCTTCAGGGCAAAAGGCCTACATGGAAGCCCCTTAGACTTAGCAAGTAGGGCAAGTAAGGTGGGAGAAATTATCATAGGGTTTCTGGGCGAGAAGAAGTAGACTTGCTAAGTCAAAAGAGCTTTCAAGTAGGGTTTCGGAGTTCAGCCTTGTGGATGGGTTTAGAGTTGAGGGTTTAGGGGTTTGAGGGGTTTAGGGGTTTTAGGGGTTTAGGGTTTAGGGGTTTAGGGGTTTTAGGGGTTTTGGGCTTAGGGTTTAGGGCTAAACCCATAGTGAAACTGGACGACTGGAAGGTTGGGGGGGAGGAGGGGGGTAGCTGTATAAGACGGGCTGCAACACTCCCGAGGATAGCCAAATTTGAACTGTTTGTTTGATTGGACCGCTGGGGCAACCTTTGAACACCTGAGGCAAACCGAACTCCAACAATCCGGGAAGAACAAACCCTAAGGGTCCATGCACCTTATTATATACTAGGGCCCCAAAGTCCCTATATAGGAAGTACTTTGAGGCCCAAGTATTCCCTGTTTAGGTACATGGACCCTTAGGGAAAGATTAAGTTCCTTGTTCTTGCAGAAGAAGGAAGCTTAACCCCTTGTTAAGCTTTGCAAGAATTCTTAGAATCAGCTGCACTAGGGTTTAGGGTTTAGGGTTTAGGGTGTAGGGTGCCGCCCAGCAGCGTTGTCGGCACGCCTCCTGGCGAATACATGGCCAAGGCTCGGAGAGGCGGTTCGTACCAAACAGCACCTCTTGTTGAGAGGCAGCAAGGGACTTGCGGCTTTTTGGGGGGGTTTGGTACCGGGTTGAGGGCTTGGGGTTTGGGGTTTAGGGTTTAAGGTTTGCCTAAATCCACACCCCAAACAGCCTCGACTTCATTGCCCCAAACCCAGCGTTCAGTTCAGCTGCCAAATGGGCTGCAGTTGACGCATGTGACCTATAAGAAACAGGCTTCTGCGGAATGTAGGGGTTCATGGTTTTGGGTTGGGATGTTCCCCCTTATACTAGCAGTCCTTCATAGGGATTGTAGTACCCCCTGCTACAATCCCTATCTTAGTTGCTGAGTTCATAAGCCCCTAAAAAGTGTACACTTTCAGATTTCTAGGGGATTATGGTATCCCAAAAAGTGTAAAGTGCACTCACTCAGCTACAAGGCCACCCTAAAACCTGAACCCTAAACTCTAAGCCCTAAACCCTAAACCCTAACCCTAAACCCTAAACCCTAAGGACTGTTAGTAGAAGGCGGAACATCCCAAGGTTTCGGAGTTCAGGGTTTCGGGTTGCCAAGAAGAGCCTGTGAGTGACAAGGGTGAATATGCGGTTTAGGGTTAGGGTTTCGGGTTTAGGGTGTAGGGTTTAGGGTTTAGGGTTTAGGGTTTAGGGTGTAGGGTTTAGGGTTTAGGGTTTAGGAACAACAAGCCCTAGGCCCATAAGCCAAAACTCTAAACAGCCCCCAACCCGCACAAATACCTGCCCAAGTAGTCCTCAATCCATCCCCTTAGGGTACTTTCTGCCTATTGAAGGACAGTTCAGGGGTATCTCAGAAACTGGCAAGGATTCCCCTGTTTAAGGGCCCATGATTCAAGGACCATGTAGCTGAGGGTAGCAAGTTCTGCTTGTGGCATCGAGAAGAATAGGGCGATGACAAGCAGCTGCAACACTTCGAGCTTTATGATTATCTTAGTTGTCCAGTACCTAGGGGTTTTAAAAGGTTAACCTTTGGGATTATAAGGGGAATATATTAACCCAAAAAGGTTAAAGGTTACCTACTCTACTACTGCGTTATTGGGAACCCCAAACTGGGAACCCCCAAGCACAGAGTAGGAATAGAATCGGAACATACCTACCAGGGTCCTGGGATTCCCTTCGTATTCTATATTCTCCCTGCTAGGGGTTCCATCAGGGTTCTTGTACAGCAGACGTCGAACCACTCTCGTTCATGCATCGAGCCTACATGATACACTGGAAACCTAAACCTAAACCGATACTGAAGCCCTTCCATATCCCCACCCCCGAAGAAAATCGGGTTGGGAGCAGTTCGGCACGTCGGCGCACAGTTGGGGGCTAGCAGGGGTTTAGGGTTTAGGGTTTAGGTTTAGGGTTTAGGGTTTAGGGTTTAGGGTTTTGAAGCTGAACTGTAAGCCGGGCGGGTGTCATGGGATGATCAAGGCAGTGGCTTAGGCAACTGGAGAAAATGGAAAGAATTGCAATCGTCTTTGGGGTATACGGTTTTCTTTCTTGAAGGGGTTCTGAGGAAATTCCCTGTAAGGGTTTCTGGTTTTGGGTTGAACCTCCTAGACCGCCATGAGCCCCGAAACATCCTCCACACTGAATGCATGAGGTATGCCTGGATTTTGGACCTTTCCGCGGCATGAGAACACCAAGTGCGGTTCCACGCGGGTTGGGTAGGGCTGGAGGCCCTAAACCCTAGACCCCAAACCCCCAAAACCCTAAACCCTAAACCCCAAACTGTATGGGGCTTCAGGTTTTTGGGATTCCCTTATCAGACTAAAACCCTCAACCCTAAACCCTAACAGCAAGAGCCCAACCCAACACTGTGCTGCACTTGGGAGGACTTCGATGCACAGAGGCCTGGACATGTTCATGGGCCGCACAGGGAGGGGACCTAGGAGTGCCAATTATAAGAACTAGCGTTTAGAGTTTAGAGTTTAACCCAATCAAAAGCGTAGCTATAACCCACTTAGAAGCCCCTTAAGTACCCTAAACCCTAAACCCTAAACCCTGCTAGGCTTACAAGTGGGTTGTAAGTACAGTTCTGAGTGGGCTACTAGGTACCACGAACCTCCAAGGGGGCGATCTAGGGTTGATAGGATGTTGGGTTTTAGGGTTTAGGTTTTAGGGTTTAGGGTTTGCGGTTTAGGGTGGCTTGGGGGAATGGGTTCAGGGCAGCAGAAGCGGAAACCATTCAAGAATAATATCTGGGAATTGAATGGTCCACCTAGAAACGGAGAAGCACAAGTTACTACTGGGCACAAGCTATCAAATGCAAAGAGTTGTGAGGTTTGAAGGAATTCAAGAAGTCGACCAATTCAAGCCTCAACGCCGCTATAAGGTTTGGGGTTTACCCAAAACCCTAACCCCTAAACCCTAAACCCTGAACCCGAAACCTAAACCCCTAACGACAGTATCCACAATCTTCTGTATTGACCCAGGCGCCCCCTCCCCACAAGCGGCTCAAGGTAAAAGGATACAACAAGGCGGGGCCCCGCCAGTAGGAGATCTAGACTGAAAAGCATCTCCAGGATTTGGGGTTAGGGTTTAGGGTTTAGGGTTTAGGGGTTTAGGGGTTTAGGGCTTTAGGGGTTTATGGGGTTTAGGGTTTAGGGTTTTAGGGATTAGGGTTTAGGGTTTAGGGTTTAAGGCTTCCTTACACACTACTTATCCCCATGAACCTCCAAACCTATGGGGAGGGGCCCACAGCGGCTTCAGCATCAAAGCACCAAGCTGTCTCTGCCATTGCGAAAAACCTGGCTTGCTCTACTGCTGGCTGAGAATTCCCGGGTTTAGGGTTTAGGGTTTCGCGTTTAGGGTTTGGCTTGGGGCTTCGGGTTCTTCGGGGGTTAAAAAAAGAGTTCACCTTTTGAGGGTTTGGGTCTAAAGGACTCTTTAGCACCCAAGAAGGTTACAGGTTGCCAGGTCAGCCCATTCGTCGTTACCTACTGGTGCACGTCGAGCCATGTCTGATCCTCTCAAGACCCATTATGCTGAAATCGGGCTGTACCCCTTCCAGAAACTTACCTTCTGAGTTCATAAGCCCCTAAAAGTGTACACTTTCAGTTTTATAGGGGATTTTCGTATCCCAAAAAGTGTAACGTGTACTCACTCAGCTACTAAGGAAATGGATTTCTGTCTCCATGGCAGCCTGCCTTCACAACCCTTCACGCACACGGGGTTTGGGCTGCGATTTGCCAAGCTCGACATCCCCCCACGGATTTGTTGATGATGGTGGGCAGGGCATTTCAACCAGACCATCCTCTATGGAGCCATGTCCCTGTGGCATGCCGTTGCCTTCTGTGAAGGTCTAAACCCTAAGCCGCCTCAAACTCAGAACCCTACGAAACTAGAACGGAAGACGGAAGATCGCGGAAGTCCCCCAAACCTTGAAACCGTCAGCAACACCAAAACAGCCCTGACCCTGCCCTAGGAGCCCAGATGCAACTTATCTTCGGTCCCTGAAGAAATCCCATAACGGTCTTGGAAGAAGATCCTACAATGAAGTAGGTTTTGTGTGCTTAAAGTGAACCTCACAACCCACTCTAAAATATCGGGATAGGCTGCAAACTTTCGCAACAACCCTTGCATCGTAAGGAGCCACTGGGCGCAAAAACTTCTTAAAGAGCAAGGGAATTCTAAAAGCCTGAAACCCTCAAAGCCAAATCCACTACAACTGTTTGGTTTAGAAACCCCCCCAAAAAAAACATGCAATCTTTGCTAACCCTTTATAAGGCAGAACATTTTTTGAACTTTTGGGGGCCCCTAAACCCTAAACCCGAAACCCTATACCCTAAACGTCCTTGAGCAAACAGCGGATAGTCGGAGCTATGGAAGCCCAACAGGAACAGCCTTGAGATGTTCAGCGACGGATTGAAAATTGCCGCCCGTAAGGGCGCGTTCGGCGGGGTAGCCGTGGGCATCATCCAGCCTTGGCCCGAAAGTTGGGGTAGGGTTTAGGGTTTGGGGTTTGGGGTTTAGGGCTTAGGGTTTAGGGTTTAGGGTTCAGGGTTTAGGGTTTGAAGCTGAACTGTAAGCCGGTAAGAACTGACTAGACACTTGGTAAAACCGTAGGTAAACCCTAAACCCTAAACCCTGAACCCGAAACCCTAAATGCGAGTTTAGGTGTCCGGGTGGGGCCCTTTGGAAATTGGAAGCCCTTAGGCCTATGCACCCTGTCAGGCCTCGAACCCGAGCATGTTGCTTCTCAGTGCTTAAGTACCTAAATAGGGTACACTTGGGCCTTAATTAATTCCCCCCTCAACCCTAAACCCTAAACCCTAAACCCTAATCCCTAAACCCTAAACCCAAAGCCTAAACCCTAAACTCCAACCCATATAAAAACTTTGGGGCCCAAGTATATAAAACAAGGTACATGGACCCGTAGGGTGCTAATGAGAAATTACCATTTCACGTTTCTCTTCTTGGGGGTATGAGGTTACATGCTGTAAACCCTAAGCCCTAAACCCTAAACCCTAAAAACTATTTCTTTGTGTTAAGCTTTCACAGTATGGGTCTGCAGATGGCGTGGTTGAGTTCTGGTGGGGATGTCGTGCTTTGTTTGTGAAGGTCTGGGCATAGGTCTCTGACATGGCCTAGAGTCTAGTGTAGTAATTAGGCTGTCTGATCTATTGTCGTTTTATGTCGCTTTGCTCGTGTAAGGGTCTGGGTTCGGGTCTATGCTTTGTCCTCAGCAGGGGGTTGGGAGAGGGGATTCAAACCCTAAACCCTAACCCTAAACCCTAAACCCCAAATCCGAGATGCTATGGGGGTGGGGGCAGAGGGGGGGAGGGGGAGGCAACAAGAAAGTGGTGGTATGGCACTGTAGCTCGAACTCCAGGCTAGGCTTCGACGCCCTCCAGAACATTGGCCCTACAAGAATTCGATGTCGCGGTTTAGGGTTGGCCCAGTAAGAAACTAAGCTTTTGTGGCTTTATAAACATGAAATGAAATTGTTTATTCAACCCTACCCCTGTTTAGGGTTAGGGGCCAAAACCCTAAACCCTTAAACCCCTAAACCCAAAACCCCTAAACCCAAAACCCAAAACCCAAAACCCCAAACCCCAAACCCCAAACCCTAAACCCTAAACCCTAAACCCAAGGAGGAGGTAACCGCATTGAGGACTTCCATCCGGCCCAGCGGCGACCGCACCAGCCTGCGCCGGAGCAGCTAATATAGGGGTCTGAATGATTCGAATAGGGTTTTGGGGTTATTATAGTATAATTACAATATAGGGGTCTGAATGATTAGAATAGGGTTTTGGGGTTATTCTAGTATAATTACAAAGGGACCATATTCGTAATTATTCCGACCCCTATATTAGTGTTTTTTCTCATTCTTTGAGTGCCACGGCGAACTGTCCCTGAAACTCACCCCCCCCTAAAACCCACAAGCAAGTGACACTTTCGGCAGTTGAAGGGGTATCTTGCTGTAACAGAAGACTTGGACGTAAGTAGTCTGTTTTGCGTAGAATGCTGTCATCCTTTGCAAAAAACCGTAGTGGGCCCCAAAATAACTACATTGGAGTCTTCAGGCAAGGACCTTGACTGCCTAAGGTAGTTCCGAAACAAGACAATGCAAGTCACATGTTCTCATTTCATGTCACACAAAGTATTAACAACAAGTCATGCACTGCAATACAATACAGCTACACATGAGGTTACCAAGACAATGCCGTACCATACAATGCAACACAACACAACACAATACAATACGATGCACAACAATACAAATATGTGTAGGTACATGAGTGTAGACGGCATGGACGCTGTAGGAAGCCACCAGTTCCGGGAAGTTTTTGAGTGATTTGAGCTTGGAAACCCTAAACCCTAAACCCTAAACCCTGAGCCCTAAACCCTAAACCCTAAACCCTACACCCTAAATCCTTATGCGTCGCACATACCCCGCGCCGCCCGAAGGTGCGATCCTTGCAGGGACTTCTGGTAAGTAGGGATGATGGCAGCTTAGGGGCTTAAGGTTTAGGATTTAGGGTTTAGGGTGTAGGGCTTAGGGTTTAGGGTTAGTTGAAGTACTATTAACTAAGCCTTACTGTAAGACTCGAATGTAGTTCGTTTATGGGCAGCATACTGAAACCCGTTCTAACAACCTTAACGGCCCCAAAAAAGACCTACATTGGAGTCTTCAGGTACACTTTTCCCCTAAACCTTAACGATTGAACCCTAAAACTCCCAATGCCTCGTCAACTTGTAGTCCAATTGCTTTAACTCCGCGTGCATGGCGACTTGGTCGATGGCACGCGCAGGTCCCTTGCCTGCAGAGCATAGGAATCCTTGAAAGGGTCCAGGGTTTAGGGTTTAGGGTTTAAGTTTAGGGTTTAAGGTATAGAGTTTAGGGTTTAGGGTTTAAGGTTTAGGGAAGGCTGTTTTGGGGTTTAAGGCGGTTGTGGGGCTTCAGCTCTGGGGCTGACAGGAACATGAGGGGCAATGAGGGGTACAGAACAAGTCTCTAAGGACCCAAAGTAAACCCTGAACCCTAAACCCTAAACCCTAAACCCTAGACCCTAAACCTAAGGGCCAACATGTGGGAATCAACTTGGAGCCCCTCAGGTTAGGGTTTAGGTTCGGAGCCCTGAACAATCCCTGAACCCTAAATTCTAAGGGTGGTTACATGGCCCCTTGATATGGTCCCTTACATCCTTTCAAGGATTCTGAAGTATGGGCCCTTGGGTTGTGTAGGGTATGGAAGTATAGAAGGGTTATGTAAGGGGTCACCTTTTCAGGGCCCATACCAAGGGAGCATGTAACTACCCTAACAAAAACCCTGAACCCACCTGGTCTGGGATGGTGGCTCGGGGTTTCGGACTAAGATTCAGGTGAGTCTACTGGGCTGTTTGGGGTGTCGGGTTTGGGTTTAGGGTTTAGGGCTTGAGGTTTAAGGTTTAGGGCGACATGGAGCTCCCAGACACCCCAGAGGCAGCCAGAGAAACATCCATAACTTCTTGTTTACCTGTGAAGCCTATCTCGCCTGCACAAAATCATCCAAGTGGCACTTCAAGATTCCGTCAATAAACTCGTCCAGCGACACTCCATCTCAGGGACGACATGGGATTGGGATCTCGGGAGGTGTGATGAGGCTGTTTGCGACTTCGCGGACGCATGACGGCGGAAATTCATATCCCTCTCAGCTCCTTCACATCAAGACAAAGCCATCCCCCCAACAGATGTACTCCCAACATGCCGAGCGCGCATGGGGACGCCTATATGACCTAGGAGAACATGCATTTGCTGCATCACCCGATGCTGAAAAGTGTTGTACCCCAACGTGGAAACCGATCGACGTGGGGAAAGCAACCAATTTCACAGCGGCAACATTTAAGCCAAGAACCCAACGCAAACGGGGACCCACATATTCAACCTCGGTTTCGCAGGGCTGTCGTGGCCTAACTCTAAAGACAGACGTTAAGGACCTTTTGTTGCCGCTTATCTAAGAATCCAAACATGGGCTTTTGGAAAGAGAGCCTACCAAAAAAGTAGACTTTGAAAAAGTTAGCCCTCCAATCAGCAGATATCCAACAGCGTCTGAACACAAGCCCTAAACCCCAAACCCTGCTCCCTAAACCCTGAACCGCAAACCCTAAACTCTAAACCCTAAACCCTAAACCCCACTCCCTAACCCTAAACCCCAAACCCAAACCTTGACCCCCCAACCGAGCAACTGCCCAGCAAGACTAAGATCCTGAACCTCAACTGGGTTTAGGGTTTAGGGTTTAGAGTTTAGGTTGCCCTTCTTTGCCTTCACCGTGGTTCCTCAGCTGCTGTTGATTGTGTGCAGGGGTTGGCCAATTTAAGGGGGACTGGGATTTGGGTGTTGTGTGTGTGTGGGGCGTGGGCTGTTCTACTATCATTTTTTCGTTAATGTTTCTTGTGGGCGGAAAGGGGAGGACGGCAGGTGGAGAGAGGGGGATAGGATCGAGTTGAGGTGGGGGATTGGAAGGGCCTCAGAGGCTCAGAGGTCTTTGCACCCCCTTAGGCGTGCACCTTTTCCAAGGAAGTGTAGGAGAACGAATGGGCTTAAGCTGAGGGTTCAGTTTCAGGTTCGCGCACCAAGCCCCCAACGGTCCCAAGGACTAGCCACCAAAAGTGTTCAAACCCTCCGTAAATCCGCACATCCTCAAAACCCCCAAAATCCTAAACCTGAATATAGGAAGGCTCATGGCGAGGAACAAAGCCCAGCATCTCAATGACATGGGTCGCCTAATGACTAAGAGTAGCAGCATCTTTGCACACTTCTACGGTCAGGGACGCTAAGCTTACTGGTCTTAGTACGGGGATGAGAGCATTCGGTGTCGGCACCCCACAACATACAATGTACCTAGTTATACCTGATTCCCTACAAAGAACCCTAATTACTAAGAACCAGTCGTATGTTTTCAAGCAAACCGCATACCCTACATCCTACACCACAAGCCCCCAAGCCCGAAAACCCAAACCAACACGGTTTTTAGGAGTTTAGGGGCTTACCCTAAACCATAAACCCTAAAACCCCAGGGTTTAGGGGCCTTAGGCCCAACATTTGGCAAGTTCTAGTGCCATCCAAAGGTCAGCACATGGAAAAGAGCCTTGCCCTCGTGGATATCAATGTCCATTGTCTGAAAGTAAGCCGCCACCTTTTCAGTTCTTTGCAATGAGAAGCTAAAGTTGTGTGAGAACACATGCAAAAATATGTGAAGGTATATGCTCTTGTATATTTCTTCTACATGTATCTGTAAATAAATAAATAAATAAATAAGTATGCATATATATATATATGTATATATACATGTATATATATATATATATGTATGTATATGTGTGTTCTGTCTCGGCTTCTTTTTATTTTTTTCTTTGGGGGGGGGGGCGTCTCAAAGTAAGCCGCCACCTTTGCAGCTCCCAGGATGACCCTCAAAAGCCTCTGAAGATATTCTTAAAACCCAAGGGGGAGTTTAGGGTTTAGGGTTTAGGGTTTAGGGTTTAGGGGTTTTTTGAGATCTTGGGCTCAGGACTTCTGTCTGGCGCGTAGGTCTTGGGGTTTCGGAGTGTTCATGAACCACATGCCTATAGACGAGGATGGCCCTTAAACCCCTCTGAAGATGTTCCTGAATGTGAGCCTCTTAAACCCAGCAAGGAGAAATAGGTAAAATGTCCCAAAGGCCGACCGAGGTCCTTTTGCACTGAGAAGCTGAAGAGATTACACATATATATATATATATATATATTCTCACATTATCTGCTTATTTCTTTGGGAGGGGGGGGGTGGGGGGGGGGGGGGGGGGGGGGGGGGGGGGGGGGGGGGTGGGTTATGGGGGTTTTAGAGAGCTTGTGCCGTGTAGGGTTTAAGTTCCAGGGATACAAGCTGTAAGGCCTTTGGTGTTATGTTTCAGAGTGCCGGGGGGGGGGGGGGGGGGGAGGCTTCATTTTGATCACAGTAGCCTCCCCCCCCCCCCTCCCCCACCGTTTAGGGGGTTTAGGGTTTTGGGCTTAGGGCTTCGGGCTTAGGGGTTAGCGTAGGTTTAGCAGAGGGAAGCATGCCTTCTTTGTTTGGTACGATGGTTCCGTGTGTAAGGGTGCATGCTTTTGCTTCTTCTGGGTAGGTTTTGCAGGATTTTAGTGCTCAGCTTCTTCGGGGGAGAAGCTAATGGGTCAGGAACCCTAAACCCTAAACCCTAAACCCTAAACCCTAAACCCTAAACCCTAAACCAAGAACCCACCTTCGGATTGGCAAGGATGGTGGTGAGCCGCTCCTGCACAGGGGTGCCTTTGGGGCCCTTAACTAGGCCCAGCAGACCCGAAACCCTAAACCCTAAACCCTAAACCCTAAACCCTAAACCCTAAACCCTAAACCCTAAACCCTAAACCCTAAACCCTAAACCCTAAACCCTAACCCTAAACCCAAACCAGTCTGCTTTCTACCGGTCCTGGGGGCCCCAAATGAACGAACTTCCCACCAAACAGCCGACCTACCACCAAGATAACCCCCTGATTTTCCCGAACATAAATGTGGTTAGGGCTGAGGGCTTAGACTTTTAGGGCTTAGGGGCTTCAAATCCCTAAACACTACATAAGCAGGCCCCTAGGGCATTGGGTTTCGTTGAGATTTAGGTTAAGGACTTCTGTCTGGCGTGAAGGGCTTGGGGTTCCGGAGGGTTGATGAACCACATGTTCTTAAACGTGGGGCCCCCCAAAGTCCCTGTATCGGAAGCGCCGTTTGAACCCTATTTGGGTAGTACCCTGCACCCTAAACCCTAAACCCTAAACCCTAAAGCCTACAGCCTAAAGCCTAAAGCCTAAAGCCTAAAGCCTAAACCCTAAAGCCTAAAGCCTAAAGCCTTAAGCCTAAAGCCTAAAGCCTAAACCCTGAAGCCTCAGGCGCCCCCGCTCCTCCGAGATGATTCCACTTCCCGTGTCATCGATCGCGTTGAAGATACCCTCGAGCCTCGCGCCATGCGTTTCGGGCACCCTAAACCCCTAACCCCCCCATAAACCCTAATAACCCCTAAAGCCCTAAGTCCCTAAACCCCTAAAAGCGTAAACCCCTAATCCCCTAAACCCCGATCCTAAATCCTACTACAACTAACCTGCTACCAGGAGATTCCGCTCAATTCACTGACAGTCTTCCTTAACTTGTCATGTGTGGAATGGCACAACGGGTTGACAGGCGCAACGGTTTGAAAGGCACAACGGGTTATTACTGGGGATCCCAACATGAATTAAGGAATCGTATACCTGATTGAGTAAGAGATGTCCGAGTTTCTGGGTCGCCTCACAAGTATTGGGCAAAATTCTGCCATGCCCTTGTAGCAGATATGTAAGGACTCAGATGCTCTCACTGCCGCATATGGCTTTTGCTTCGTGGGGTCTTTGCCTTGTTTTTTTCGACCGGGCTACGAGGCTATACTTGGGCAGCCTATGCAACGCGCGGCCCTTGTTTCGAAGCAGACTGAACGCTACACCTCAAGCCCCCCATGACCATCAACCCTAAACCCCTAGAAGGGCACCGCAGCCGCGACACTAGGAGCCCTGGGCAGCTTGGGTAACATGAAGGCGAAGTTTAGGGTTTATAGGGTTTAGGGTTTAGGGTTTAGGGTTTAGGGTTCAGGGTTTAGGGTTTAGGGTTTAGGCCCTTCCAAGTCCCACAACATAACCTCCGAGTTGACCTTCGCCCTTGTGCTCTAATTCGGCTCTGCACCCTAAACCTCTTAGGGCAGTTACAGTGGTCCCTTGGCATGGGCCCTTTAAGAGGGCACCCCCCGCATGTCCTTACATGCCTTCTTCAACCTATGGGCCCATACTTCAGAATCCTTTAAAGGAAGTAGGGGGACCCTATTCAGGGCCCATGGAACTACCCCTTAAATAACGACCCTAGACCTTCAACCCCCACCATAAGTGAAGCCGAGACTCTTGACCACAAACTCTGCTTTCTTGTGTATCTTATCTACCACAAGTGCTTCGGCATCATTCTGGGCAGCATCCAAGGTGTCCTTCAGGAACACGGCACCTCGGCGGAAGACCGTGCTCCGACCCACAAAGAGGACCCCCTGACTTGGCCGACTTCGAAAACCCCTCCTAAGCATGTAACTTTTAGGGTTCCTTATTGTAGTTTCTGTGGTTTCTTCTAAAACCCAAAAGGCTAAAGTCCTAAGAGCCAGCCAGAAGAAAGCCAAGTAGATGGGACTTAAAAATTAGATTGCCAAAAAAACATAATCCTTCGGGCTTTCAGTGGGCCCTTGAACCATACATGTGGGATCTTTGAACCTTCTGAAAATGTAACACCGAACCGCTCAAGCCCCACACCCCCCCGCCCCCCCAACCCTGAAACCTCCATCTAAGTTTTAGGGGCCCCTGTAGCCTTAAACGTAGGGTATTTGGAGCCTCTCACTCCAAGCCTTACACCCCACAACCCTCAACCCTAAACCCTAAATTAACAACTTGGCTCTACCTCGAACAGTCCGAGAAGGATACACCAACAAGGGGAGCGCAGGGTTCAAGTTCAGAAGCAAGAGCACCTTCAACCTTGCTCCCCAGGTTTAGGGTTTACGGCTTAGGGTTTAGGGCTTATGGCTTGGGGTCCATGGGTGAGCGGTTTGGGGTTTAGGGCAAGGGATTGCTTGGGATTGTTTGCAAGCCGCTCTAGAACACAACACCGCAAAAGAGGAACTAAAATGGGGGGATCCCAGGCAAGTTAAGGGTTTAGGGTTTAGGGTTTAAGGGTTTAAGGGTTGAGGGTTAAGGGTTAAGGGTTTAGGGTATATCCTGGTTCGCTGCCCAGGCACTTATGACACGGATGATCGCGAAGACCACTAAAGTTATATAGCAGATGAAGAAGATGGCAAAGCCGTGGCTGACCTTCTCGAGCACTGGTCGAGTGTTGGTCGGCCAGTTACCTTGCATGAGTAACCTACACAAAGGGCATGCACCTTGAAGGAGATTAGGGTTTAGGGTTTAGGGTTTAGGTCAGATTCCCGGGGGCACATGAACTTCTGTGGGTTAGGAGAAAAAACTGCTCTGCATTCGAAGTTGCCGGCAAACGTTATTTCGAAAAGTGTGTACAGGGCACGGTAAGCCGTGCCGTAGTGAGTCCAGATCCACTGGCGATCGTCAATATTTTGCTCGTCATCGTCCACGAAGCTCTGCAATAGGTTTCCCAGCATAAGCGCGCCCATCGCCATAAAGATCATCAATAAGACCATCGACCAGCAAAGGGAGGGCAAGAAGCATTGGCACGCCTGCAGAAGTGGATGGAGTTGTGGGGTTCAGGACCAGCTTGCCATGCTGCCCTAAACCATAAATCCCTCAACCCCTCACGGACATAGGCAGGGTTGAGACCTCACGCCTAAACCCTAAACCCTAAACAACCCCTCACGGACATAGGCCGGTTCTCAAGTCATCTGATGCTTCGCAGCTCGACCGACACGCCGTGTAAGCATTCATGCACCAAGTAATGTGGCACTCTGAACCCTAAACGTTCTTGTCTTGGCGTCCCTAGCGCTTGTGTAGACCGTATGCCATGAAGTGGGAGCATTTCCGAGGATAAAAAGAATCATGAAGATTCCAATATCCCGGATGCGCGGTTTGGTGCTTCGCGCCGTTGACCTGCAACAGAAGAAAGCCTGAATCCTCAACCATATCAACACCCAAAGCGAAAGGAAAACACAAGCGGCAGCAGGAGTGCTTAGTCTGCGGCTGAGATGTTGCGAGAAGTCTTAGTCTGCGGCTGAGATGTTGCGAGAAGCTTGCTAGCACGCATGCTTGGCTCAGGACCTCAGTCTTGCAATACTGGTGATTCTGGTGTTTAACGCTAAGGACATGACCGAACGCAAGAACAAAACTTAAAAAAGACTTTGTGGTCAAAGTCCTTGGCTTGTTCACTATGTGAGTTTGCACTTTGTTTCACCCCAAAAAAATGTAGACACAAGCAGTCACAAGCCCTGAAGTCCTCAATCCCTAAACCCTATAACCCAAACCCTAACCCTAAGGGTCCATGTACCTAAATAGGAATACTTGGGCCTGGAAGTACCTCCTACATAGGGACTTTGGGGCCCAAGTATATAACACAATGGACCCTTAGGGTTAGAGTAACCCTAATCCCTCTAAACCCTAAACCCTAAACCCTAAATCCTAAACACCCTAAACACCCTAAACACCCTAAACACCCTAAAAACCCTAAAAACCCTAAACCCTAAACCCTAAACCCTAAACCCTAAGCTGCAGATCAAGCCTTGACAAGCACCCGGAGACCTCGGAAAAAGCGCAGGCTTCGCACCATTCCTCGGGTCAATGCAGCCGCTAACTCCGAAGAGGGTTTAGGGTTTAGGGTTTGGAAAGTTTGGGGTTCAGGGCCTCAGGGGTTTGGGGTTTACCTTTCAAACCTCAAACATACCTCTTGCAGGTTCTGATTACCGCAGCCCTTGTAGGGTTTTTAGGTAACGACACCCAATGAGTTCAGGTTTCAGGGTGCAGGCCAACCATCTTAAATCGACCCGATAGTGGTTGCTTAGAACCAAAGGGGCCTACACTTTGGGCCCAAGTGCTCCCTATGAAGATACCTGGGCCCTTCGACTTTCGGCTGCGGTGGCCTAGAGCTCAAAAATGACCAGCAGATGACCACTCCTCCACCAGTAGCCCTGTGCCTTAGACAATCGGAAAGGACAGCCCCACCGGAACCCTAAACCCTAAGCCCAGAACCCTAAAACCCTAACCCTGCAACCTTTAAGCCTTCTACAGCCGCTCAAACCCTGAAGCCCTCAAAAAGGTTTAGGGGTTTAGGGGTTTAGGGGTTTAGGGGTTTAGGGGTTTAGGGGTTTAGGGGTTTAGGGGTTTAAGGAAAACCCTGCGCTTCCCGATTGAAAAGGCCTTTCGCACCCCCCCGCCCCCCCCAAAAAAAAATACAGAGTTTAGGGTTCGGGTTTGTACATTCTAGTGGAACCTGTCGACGCTTGTTCTTTCCCGTCTTTAGGTTTAGGGTTTAGGTCTCAAGGTTTACGAGGAGCCATGCGCCTAAACACATGAAGTTTCAGAACCCCACGACCTCAAACCCCTTGACCCTGTACGTACTGTAGGAACCGGGGTACTTCAAACGCTACAAAACCTATCAGCTTCCCCCGAATCCTAAGGGTCCATGTACCTTATTATAATATACTTGGGCCCCAAAGTCCCTACATAGGAAGTTCTTTAAGGCCCAAGTATTCCCTATGTAGGTACCTGGACCCTTAGGGGAATGCTAAGCCCTCAAGCACCGCCCCTGCTATCGGGCGGCTAATGGCTCGAAAGGACTTCATGGCGCGCATGAGTCGGAGGATGACAATGCCTGGCTTTACAGTTTAGCCCTGAACCCTGAACCCTAAACCTTAAGCCCTAAGCCCTAAACCCTAAGCCCCTGAACCCTAAACCCTATAAGAACCCTATAAGCCCTAAGCCCTAAATCCTAAACCACCCCTAAGCCCTAAACCCTTGAACCCACCCACCGCGTCTAAGGGCTTGGGGTACGCCAGGGCCCCCGAATTTGGACTCAGGGCTTTGCTCCGGACTCTCGAGGTGATGGACGTGTCACAAGGCTTGGCTCAATTTGGAACATGATGGGGATTGAGGGTTTTGGGTGTAGGGTCTAGGGAACAACATTGAGGTTTGGGGTTTAAGGTTTAGGGTTTAGGGCTAAGTGCTCCAGGTGGCACCTATGAAACAAGAAGCCAGCTTCTCAAAGACATGCTTGGCTGACCCAAGCCCCATGGTTTTGAGAAGGATGGCAAACAGTTTTATGCCTTGAAGACTTGCCTTAAGAACTCACAGCCTTTTTTTGCAGGCAATTACTCTAAAACCCGTTGCAGGAATTTTTAGGTAACCTACAAACAAAGAAGCAAGTTTTGAGTTCTTCAGGTGGAGTCTTGGCCCCAATCGCCCTAAACCCTAAACCCTAAACCCTAAACCCTAAACCGTAAACCCTAAACCCTAAACCCTAAACCCTAAACCCTAAACCCTAAAAGCTCGGCCGGGGCGTCTCTTTGAGGCTGTTGTGTCCCCAACGAACGCCAAGTTGATGTACCTTGGTACCCAACGGGTCCATATGGGTGGTTGTCTAAACCCTAAACCCTAAACCCTAAACCCTAAACCCTAAACCCTAAACCCTAAACCCTAAACCCTAAACCCTAGCACCCTAACCCTAATAGCCCTAAGGGTCCATGTACCTTATTATAATATACTTGGGCCCCAAAGTCCCTACATAGGAAGTTCTTTAAGGCCCAAGTATTCCCTATGTAGGTACATGGACCCTTAGGGTAAATTAGGGTCCCTTTTTGGGATCACTTTTTCAAGGGGGCCGCCTTTTTTGGGATATCCAAAAAGGGACCCTAATTTTTAGGAAACTACCCATATGGGTGGTTGTCAAAGTTAGGATCCCTTCTGGGGTACCCTAAATATTAGGTGCCGTATTATCATAGGAATCCAAAAGGGACCATAATTTTGATCACCACCCACATGTAGTCCTAGTATGCAAGTAGGTACCCAAAAACCCTAAACCCTAAACCCTAAACATCGCTAAACCCTAAACCTTAAACCCTAAACCCTGCATGGTACGGTTTTCGGGTGTTGAATTCCAAAATCGTGCTACCCTAAGGGTCCATGTATTCTAAATAGGGAATACTTGGGCCTTAAAGTACTTCCTATGTAGGCACTTTGGGGTCCAAGTATATAATAACAAGGTACATGGACCCTTGGGGCTGGACCCGCTGGGGGATGTGCTTTTTTTTTTGGTGGGAGGCCGTTTTTGTATCTGGTGGGAGGCCAGGCTTAAGGTTTAGGGTTTGGGGTTTAGGGTTTTAGGGTGTATAAGGTCGGGTTTCGTTTAGGGGTAAGCTGGTTGCTCTGTCACAAGGGAGCATGAAAATGAGAAAAGTGATACTATGTATACTTAGCGTGTAGGGTTGAGGGGTTTGGGGTTTAGGGTATTCTTCATGCAAGGCTCATGTCTACAAGGCCGCTCATGACGAGCATGGTGTCGAAGAGGTTTGCGTAATCCTTCAAGAACGCCCACCTGGCGTAGGAATGCTAAACCCTAAACCCTAAACCCTAAACCCTAAAACCCTAAACCCTAAACCCTAAACCCTAAACCCTAAACTTGCGGGAAGGAGGTGGACCGCCAAGGTATTACTATTCTCTCTCTCCCTCCCCTCCTTCCTTCAACGTCCTTGCTCGGTCTGCCTGTCCGTCTATAGGGCTCGTACCCAAAATACTAAACCCCAAACCCTACACCCCTATAGGCTCCCTTCCGGGCCCCGTGTCTCTGTGTAGGGCTACCCAGTGCCACGTCACTACGAAGGGACGGTGGCTGTGGGGTTCGGGGCCTAGAGTTGGAGGCCCCTGGAACCCTGAGCCTTGCACCCAATGGATCCCCTGAGCGCTAACCTCAAGCCTCTGCCTCAAACTGCCTCAAACCCTACACCTCCTCAACCCTTACCCTTAGGCTCAACATAGCCCCAAACACCTGATATAAGAAGGCCTTTGGGCTCAAAAAAGCCTTAACATAAGAGTCCTTGGGGGCTTACAGGTCTTAGGGTTGAGGGCTTCAGGGGCCTAGCGGCGCAGCCCTTTCCCCGTGGCCTCTCTACGGCGATCCGGATGAGCCACTCCACCAGGAAGATAAATACAAAAACAATGTCCACCTCATCACTTCGGAGGGTTTAAGGTTTAGGGTTTAGGGTTTAGGGTTTAGGGTTTAGGGTTTAGGGTTTAGGGATAGGAATAATACTCTGGGTCCTAGTCATCACTTCGGTATGAGGTTCCGGGTGCAAAGGTCTGCAGGGGTGAGGAGGTTATGACAATGGACAGAAACGACAACGTGACAACGGAGTAAAGTCAAGAAACAACTTCGGGGACTCTAAGCCCTAAACTCATATACCCTTAAGAAGGCGGGACATGTACTTTAACTATCTAGGTTCCTCGGGGGGAGTCTGGGTTCGGGGCATTCTAGCTTCATGCGCATAGGGTTTTCAGGTTGACGGATTCGAGCTTCTGGAAGATGGGGCTTAGGAACCCAGGGATCTGGTTAGGGGGTTTGTCGCAGATCTGGGTGAGTGGCGATCTGCAGCGCGGGAATCACCTGCCGAGCTTGGGTTTCGGCTTTAAGGTTGCAAGGCTTGAGGCGAGCGTTATGTAAAGCCGACACATTGCAGGGTGCGATTTTTCGAAGTGGGCTAGTGTATACAGCTGAAAAGAATAATGCGCATGTCACATATATATATATATAAATATATATGTATTATGTACATGCTCCCCCCCCCCCCTCTCCCCCCTGTGGCGTGGTTGTGGGTCGGTTTGAGGGTTTGGTTGAAGGTTTTTCGGGTTCCGGGGCGCAGGGCTTTTCGGCTGTGGGTTGGCTATAGGGTTTGTGGGGTTTAGGGCTCTAGAAATCTAGGATTCCAGGACTTAAGATTTCATGACTTAAGATTGCAGGATTTAGGTTTTGCGTTTTCGGGTTTAGGCTTCAAGCCTTTGATCTCATGATCTAGGTACTCGCCCTGCCCCCCCGACCCTGGTGTGGCTTTAGGGTTTAGGGTTTAGGGTGTGGAGTGGTTTTCGGGGTTAGGGTTGAGGGGCTCTGAGGGGAGGGAGTGGCCCTCTGGGTTGTAAGGGCGTCAAAGCCAGGCTGGTCTTTACACCACTCCACATTTGCACGTGCAAGTCGTGGAGGTACTTTGACTCTGGGAACAACTTAGGGTTTAGGCTTTCGGGTTTAGGGTCAAGCCAAAACACCCCCCAAGGAGCCTCGTGAATGGATTCTGCCGGAATCCGTTCCCCCCACAAATGCAAAACTCTCTGACATCACCACTCTGGTCCTGTTGATCCCCTTCCCATCTCTAGGACTTTACGGTTTAGGGTTCAGGATTCAGGGAATCGGGGTGTTGGGACTTCGTTTCGGGCTTAGGGTGTAGTGCAGCCCCAACATACGTAATCACCCAACTCCTTATCCCTGAGCCCTAAGCCCTGAACCCTAAAACCCCTACACCCCTAAACCCTAAACACCCTAAACCCTAAATTGCGCGGAGGCAAGCCTCCTCCCAGGCCGGTCCATCAGACAGCCCCACACTCAAGCCCACAATCCTTCAGGAACGATTTGGGTAGGGTTCAGGGTTCAGGGTTCAGGGTTCAGGGTTCAGGGTTCAGGGTTCAGGGTTTTGGGTTTTGGGTTTTGGGTTTTAGGTTTTGGGTTTTGGGTTTTGGGACAGAAATACGCAAATTGTATACATATGGATAAAATAGATGAATATATATATATATATATATATATATTCACACCCACATACATATATCTCTGTCTCTCCCTCTCTCCCTCTCTCTCTCTCTCTCTCTCTCTGTTTGCTTGCCAGTAATTAAGCACTGCTGGTCCTTCCCTCCATCTCAAACTGTATCAGCAGGACCAAGGAGTTCAGCAGCACAAGAATCCCAGCAAAGTAGTCGAGTCCCGCTTTGAGCCTCACGCAAGAAGACGACAGCCTATAGGGTTTAGGGTTGAGGGTTTAGGGTTTAGGGTTTAAGATATAGGGTTTAGGGGTCAGGGTTTCGGGTATAGGGGTACGCCATTTGGTAGATCGTCTTCCAAGGATTCTGTTCACGCTACAATACGTGGGTGTGTGTCTCTTCAGGTGGCATCAAGGCTGAGCCCTCCTAACTACCAGGGTAGTGGGGCCTCAGGGATGGCTGTGGGGCCGACGATGAAACATGAGCCTTCCTAAAGCCTTCGCCTCCGATGGCGAGCCACGAGACACACACACACACACACACACACACACACGAAAGGGTTAATTGTGAGAATAACCACTCTGAGCCCCACACACACAGAGACCTGACCTTTAGCGACCTTCCGGATTCTCAAAGTCCGGGGTTGAGGAGTTTGGCCTTGGAGCTGCGAAGGGTAATGTTCGGGTCCCCTTCACCAACCCAAAGATAGCAACATATGCTTCAGAGAACCCCAAAGAGGAGAGTTTCATAGGCCCTAAACCCAAAAAAGGGAGACCCCCCAACAAAAGAAAGTTTACACCTTCAAGACTAAACCCTGAACTTCATAACTAGGGTTTAGGGTTTAGGGTTTTGTAGGGTTTAGGGTTTAGGGTTTAGGGCTAGGGTTTAGGGTTTAGGGTTTAACCTGCAGAACGTGCCAGGCTTGTGCACCTCGTTAGCATCTCCTCCACGCGGCTGGGATTATGCTCGCTCAACCTTAGTTGCTTCTCTCAGAGGGTCTAGGGTTTGGAGTCCAGGGTCTAGGGTTGAGGGTTCAGGGCTTTGGTTTGGGGTTTCGGGCGGAAGTTTTGTTTTCTTATTTTTCCAAGGGGAAACTGCGGGAAAATGGCGCCTTCATTCTTGGAAATGTGTGTCTTTTGGTTGTCTAGGGCTACAGTCTCTGCCTAGGCTTCAGGCATCGTGGCAGACGGGGGTTCTCGGCCCCTGCCAGATGGTGGTGTTTGTTGTCATTTACGGACGTTGGTAGCTTCCAAAAATAACCGCTTGTACGTTAAACAGGTGAGCGAGCCCGACAACCAAGAAGGGAATTCCCCCGCTTTCAAAGGCTTTCTGCAAAAGGGTTTGGGACACGGGTATTATGTGCATGGGCCGTTCCTCAAAAACAAGTCCCTGCTAGTTTAGAGAACAAAACCTTAAACCCTAATCAATAAATCAATGAAGCTGGAATCCATACGTCAGGTGGAGTGATTCCATGGCCCTCTGAGGCAACGGAAACTCTAGTTTCTAGACATCTTGCAATGCACAAGTCACACGTTAGGGAAGGCCTAGGGTTTATGGTTTAGGGCTTCAGGCTTTTGATTCCCAACTTCGGAAGTGACTCTAAACCCTAAACCCTAAACCCTAAACCCTAAACCCTAAACCCTAAACCCTAAACCCTAAACCCTAAACCCTAAACCCTAAACCCTAAATCAGGCTTCAGCTTTCAAGGCAAAGAGCATGAGCTCGACGGTTACCTGCGACTTGGCGTTGTTTGCTTGGTTGTTGTATCCTTGGCTGCGCGACATGGGTGGTTTAGGGTTTAGGGTTTAGGGTTTAGGGTTTAGGGTTTAGGGTTTAGGGTTTAGGGTTTAGGGTTTAGGGTTTGGGGTTTAGCGTTTAGGGTTTAGGGGGTTTCCGAAATTTCGGGGTACCTTGTTGGGGTCCCCATTGTACGGGATCCTACTACTTGGGGATCTACATTGGGGTTGGGGGGTCCCCTATTTTCGTAAACCCCCAAATAGGACAGGACCCACGCCCTAAGCCTTCAAACCTTGGCGCTGGAGCAGAAGACGACTTAAGGCAACATTGGTGGCTGTGGGTTATGTCTACACTTTTCATTGGGTTAGCAAGTACCCTGAACCTCCAAACCTTTATGGGCTTTACAAGCACTATACTGGGGTTTAGGGTTTAGGGTGTCCGACTTGGCGTACACAAGAAAAGCACTGGAGCTGCGTGCCAGGAGGCTATAGCTCGGCGACGAAGAAACCACACGCTCCTCCCGCGAGTTTACGATTTGGGGGTTTACGAAAACAGGGGACCCCCAAAAACCGCCCCCCCAAATAGTACAAGGACCCCAATAAGGGAACTTCGGAACCCCCATTTAAATTTCATCGACGGACAGCATAGGGCCTTCGGGGTTTAGGGCTTTGGGTCCGCCATAAAAACCGGCTGATCTCAATGTCCAGGCTTCTGGCAAACCTTTAGTTGAATGTCCGTATGACACGAAACACCCCTAGGCTACATGCCTGCTCTGCACTGAAGCTAAGCCCGCATGGTGGTCCACTTCAATAGAGGACTCCTAACATAGACCCCCACATGTGAGACATGCAGATGCCTGACCATGTGTAAACAAGCGACAAGTATTCTGCAACGTGGAAAACCTTCTCCCAGAACTACACCACACTACGTCTTCACCCCCTGTTCAGGACTACCGTTTTCCACCTTTCTCTTTCTGTGTACTTTCTTTCTTTCTAGGGGCTTGGGGCCGAAGCCCCGGGCGTCATCGCCCGCCCCTGTATTTGGGGCAACTCGGTGTGAACAGGTGAAGCCAAACGGTGGGCTTTCAGTTCTGTGTACTCTCTCTCTCTCTCTCGCTAGCTCTCTCGCTCGCTCTTGATAAGGAACCCCGCTTTCTCTCTCTCTCTCTCTCTCCCGGTCTATACCGTTGTTTTGAAACTTCTCATTCTCACGCACACAGTCTCTCGCTCTCTCGCGTTCTCTCTCTCGCTCTCTCTGGCTTTATCTGTTTCTTTGTTAGCTTGTTGTTTTTTTGGAATCTATCTGTCGCTCTCTCTCTCTTACATACATTGGCATGATTCAACGCAAAATAGGAGAAACACTGAAGTGACGATCAATAAACAAAAGCTAAGTTCCATGCTTCGCATAGCATATTGCTTGTTCCGAGTCGAGACAACACTTACATCAACTGGGTTTTAAGTGACTTCTTAGTAGGCAAGCCCCATACCTAGACCCTGAACGCCCTACATACAAGACCGTATGAATATGCAACCGTGCTAAACCGCCTGAGCCTGAAAGCGCTGAAGCCCTCACCCAAAACCCTATAAACACTGAACCCTGAAGCCCCCTAAGGGTCCATGTACCTACATAGGGAATCCTTGGGCCTTAAAGTACTTCCTATATAGGGACTTTGAGACCCAAGTATATAATAATGAGGTACATGGACCCTTAGGGCTATGAACCTAGGTTGCCCAGTAACCTAGGATTAAAAAGGGTGCCCTTTTTTGCTTAAACCGGTTTACAGGGGAACCTAGAGCCCCCAAAAAGGGAATAAGTGCACTACTGGGCATCCTAGGAACACTGATCCCTGAAGCCTGAACCCCACAAGCGATGCGGAGGTCCGATGCGGTCAGGGACTGCGACAGGGAAGCATCGTTGACCGAACGCGTGGGTCTGCCCAGCGTTTCGAGTTGAGGGCCGCAAGCAAAACCCTTAACTTCTGAACCCTCACACCCCCCAAACTGCCTTTAAACCATAATAGTAGGGAACATAAGTGTCCTTTATTGAGGGTAGTTTGGGGGGTGCAGGTAAACCCTAAACTCTATAGCCTCAACCCTGCTTTGGGTTTGGGGTTTCAGGGTTCCAGGGCTTTAAGGCTCTCACGCCATAGCCACAGATCACGCTTTGGGGCTCAGGGTTCTTATTTTGTAAATTTCAGGGCTTAAGCCTGACAAACAGTAAGCTAAACCCTTAACTCCCTACACCCTAAACTCCCTAAACCCTAAACCCTAAGCCCAAACCCTAAACTTTGAGCTCCCAGGGTCTTGGAGACCAGTTGGAGCTTTAGTATTCCGAGGGTTTGCCACCAACGGCTTTGCCAGGTCGAATGCGCATCCCACACCATCCCTTCCCCCAAGCACGTTCCTAGGGTTCAGGGATATTTTTGGCTGCTAAAGGACTTGGCTGAGCCCTAAAAAGGCTTTTTCTAGACGACATGGTCCCCTGTCGAGCTCTATTCACAAATCGCAAACCACATTAAACGGACGACTCAAAGGTGCAGTTCAAAACTTAAGGGTCTGGTTTGAAGGGGCTTATAAGGGAACCGAAAACCCAAAAAAGTGAATGAGGGCTCCTCTGGGTCCAAGTCTAAAAACCCTAAACCCTAAACCCTAAAACCCTAAAAGCCCCAAGACCCTCAACTCCATAGAGAATCCGCGGCGCTTCGCATAGTGGCCATTCTTGAGGTCAGCCGCGCTGCTCATGCAATGCCCCACCTGGTTTTTTGGGGGTAAGGTTGGTCGGAGGGCTTAGGGTTTCGGTTTTTAGGGTTTAGGGTTTAGGATTTAGGGTTTTAGATTTCAGGGTTTTAGGTTCAGGGTTTAGGGTTTAGGGAAGGTTGTTTTAGGGTTTAGGGTTTAGGGTTTAGTCGGTGTGCAGGTGTGGGAGAGCCATTCCCTAGCGCTCCAAGCATACAAACATCGAAGCCCTAAACACCAAGCCGTACGAACCCTCTCCAAACCCTCTGACCCCAAACCCTAAACCCAACCCTAAACCAGACCCTAGACCCTAGACCCTAGACCCTCGACACTAAACCCTAAACCCTAAACCCTAAACCCTAAACCCTAAACCCCAAACCCTAAACCCTAAACCCTAAACCCTAAACCCTAAACCCTAAACCCTAAACCCTTTGCGGAGCTGCAATTGGTATTGTAGAAAAGAGTTAGTGTTGAGAGTTGGAAGGGTTAATGAACCCGGAAATCATGTTTGGCTCAAGATGGGCTTGAACAGAAAGCCACAAGTTCAAAAAGTAGTGCCTGGGTTCTTAGGGTTTGGTAAGGGTGTGGATTCCTTCCCCCTTTCCTTCCCCCCTGGGTTGCTCTTATCCGTGTTCTTGTTTGTTTCTTGGTTCGATCTGGGGAATATAAGTTCAGGGCGATTAGGGGAGTTGATTTCCTTCCTTGGTTGTCCCCCCGTAGGTTATGAGCCCAAATTAGGTTCCCTGCGGTTGAGTGTTGTCTTAAGATCTTTGGGATCAAGAAGCAATGCCTTCTCCGAAGCGATGGCTCCAACCTGCCTCGGATGGTGGACAAAATGGTGGAGCTGGAAATGGTGCAGCTGAGTCTCTGGGTGAAAGATCGGTGTTGGAAGAGGTGATTCCCGGCGCTGAAGAACATCTGGAAGAAGCCTTGGTTGCAGAAAGCCCCAATGTGGGTATGAATCCCAATGTGGATATGGTTAGCAATACTGAAGCTGAAGGACGTGCTGTCTCTGTATCGCCAAAGCCTGGTGAGAAAAGGAACTGGGACGCGACTGGTGGTATAGATCGTGAAATGGAGGTGACTGTTTTACGAGTGTTGCACAAACACGGGTATCAGCCGTCGACTTCGACTTCGGGTCGAATGGTAGACCAAGAGTCTCAGACCGATCTGATTGGAGAAGTGCTGCAAGCGGCCAGGAGGCCTCTGAACAAGATCAAAAGGGATCCATCTTCGAGTTCCCAAGGTGGTGGAAGCGGTCACGAACAGAAGGGTGCGGACAGCTTTGAAGCTGCACCTGCTGCTGAATACGCCATGGGGGAGGAGGAGATCCTACAGATGGAGGCTGAGAGGTTGCGACAGTTGTCAGAAGAAGAGGACGAGATGCGTCAGGTCTCTGAAAGGGATGGTTTTCGGAAAGATGAGCATCTGATCAAAGCGTGCGATGGGACAACGTGGGAATGGCACCT